ACCTTATATCAATATGAATATAATCTGCTTGTTATTATTATTATATTACTTTAGCATCCAAGGGGGAAGGGTCAGCATTTTGCTTAGACAAAAGTCAACAATTCAAAAGTGAATCAATCTGATGGGAAAATGTTGTATTCCAGTGACATATAATATACAGAAAAATGATCGATTTGATTGAGTAACAAACTCAAGTTATCAATCTGATAGTTGATTCAAATTGTCGATTAAAATTCATCATGTTTATTATTCTCAACGATTCTCTATATGGATAATAATAATATCATGTAACAGGAAAACTATCTTTTTCTTTCAATGGAAAGAGAGATAGAAAGAAAAATAATTCTCTTTTCAATCTTTACTTGAATAATTTTGCCTTGTTTTCCATCCTCAAATAATATTATCATGAAAATGAATGTAAAACTATTCACGAGAAAAAGTTTCCAATTCAAACTAACATGTCAAAAGTAATTTCAACTTGAAATATCAGAAATAAAAGGTAAGATGAACAGAAAGATAATAATAATTCAGAATCAAGAATCTGATTATTTATGAAACTTTTTCATTCTCTCACCTTAACATTGAGTAACTGTTTTCGACAGATTCATTATTCAAATTCAGATATGATTACATTTTATCAAGTGCTGGAAATGATAATCATGGTTACACCTTGAAAAGCATTTTTTTTTTCATGGTAAATTTTAAAATTTAAATCAACCAAAAACTGTGTCAGGATGCTAATCAATATTCAGAGGGAGAGATAGTAAAATTATCAGGTTAATAGTTTCAGAAATTTAGATATGATTCAGAAATTACATGGACTGGCTTGAAAGTTCATGTTGCTCACAATTTATCCTGATAGTTTCATGGTGAATTTTTTTTTCTCTTGTATCTAAACATGATTAAAGTTTCTTGTTACTCTGATCAAAACTACTTGACACTTACAGTGACAGTATTTTTACAAGTATTAATACATGATTGTGATTGTTGGAACAGTGAATTAATCTTGATAATGATTACAACGATTTCATGAGTTTCATATATATATAAAGAGTGAGAAAATGATTTGGATAATGTTCATGGTGGTGAACTGATTGTTCCAATGAACAATTTAAATGCATCATCATCTTAAAAGTTGTTGTAATAATAACGAAAAACTGATTTTTTTTTCACTCACTCAGAATATAAACTCAATGATCTTTGATAATATGCAACTTATTTCTTATATATATATAATATAACATGGAAACTGAACCTTAGGTTCATGTTATTTACACTTGGATAGACTTGGAATGAGAGGTTTTCATGAAACGAACCAGAAATGGAATCACCATGAGAGTAAAAAGAAAAAGAGAAAGAAATGAGATATTCTATTCTATTTTATTCTTCTCTTGATGCTCCTTCACTCCTTCTTCCCCTGAATAAACTGAATCATCCATTGAAATGGTAAACAAATGATAATATTATCAATCTGACCAATAATCATGATGATATTTGACAATAAGTGAAAATGATAACTCATCATGATCTTTTGTTTCTGTTTTCTGATTGAAATTTTCTCATTACCATTGGAATGACACCCAAATCGAATGGCTTGAAAACTATTATCACAATTTTCAATTCCATATTCTGTCTGAATAATACATGATGAAAGTACTTCAAGTAAGTACTTCACATTTATTAAAATCGTCAATTCTTATATTTCAATTTGAACTTGAAACGAAAAAATCAGTTCGATATTTTCAATCTCTATGGAATTATAATAATAATAACAGAATCATCATGATAATCGTCATGAAATCTGAACATTTCATGGAGATTATTGATTAAATTTCAATTCTTTATCTAAATTGTATCCAATGAGTGCTGACTGATTACATTCATACACGAATATGATGAAATTAACACTTACACAGATGAAATTAAAATTAAGACTCTAATGTTGAGTGTGTCAATTAGTTGATTGTTAACAATCAAGATTAAGACTGCTAATCAATTGTTACATGATTATCATGATAAGTTTTCAATTCAATTGGAGATAATGAGAATCAGATAATCAACCGTAATCAAAGTGTTATCATTTATTTGATTGTATTAATAATCCAAGTGAAGATTAATAAATCGTCAATTTGTAAATTGTGATGATTATGATTAGTTAAATTGAAAGTTTCATCATCGTTTTCGTGTTGATAATGAATGGAAACATTATCGATCCCGAATCTTATTAGTATTCAAAATTATTAGTATCTCATTGTTATCATTGTGCTTAATCATTTTCTTGGGTTTTCTTTTGTTCTGGTTATCGATTTGGGTTTCAAATTATTCAATCAGGGAAACATGATGATATAAAGTATGAACATTGTTCATTATCATGACTGTGAGGAAAAAGAAATCATCTTAGATTAATAAGAACCATTGACGTGAGTGGAAGCTTTTTTTATAACAGTCAATTCAGATAAAGATAATTTAATCAGAATTTTTTTTCTCTAACAATATAAGACAATCAATTTTTTTTTCTTCTGTTGCTCAATATGATTAACATTTTCAACTAACAGTTACCTCATCCTTTATTCATATTATCGATTGAGCGAGATAGAGAAAGGGATCATAATGATCATTGTTATTGGAATAATGTATCAAGGTATTTGCCTTAAAGAGAATAGGCAACAGAGAGAGAGAGAGAGAGAGTTTTAATCACTAATGATTCGGTACTGAAGCTCAAGAATCGCTATTTATTGAATTCTCAGCACTTCCCTGAATATCAAAGTACTATCCTTTTGAGTCGAAATCGCAACATTAAAGTTCAGGTATGAATCTGAAGGTTGAACTTTCTGACTATTGATTGTAGGGAAGTGTGTGAGAGAGAGAGAGAGTGAGATGCAAATAGAAAATGCAGTGAGAGAATTAATCAATGAGATATTGAATACAAAAGATGAGGATGTTTGATGAGAAAGAGGAAAGTCAAAGAGGAAATGTACGAATAGTAGATATTTTTTACTTTCGCTGATAGACTATCATGTTTCATGAACTTGCTCAATTCTCCTCCTTTTACTCTCACTAATCACCATGAAAATTAGCTGATATTGTGATTTGTCAGTCTATTAATCTGATGATCTGATAAAAGAGGGATTAAGGGGAGGACCAGTTTATCATTTCTTCATTTAGATTAGGGAGGATGATCAAGATGCTCCAAGTAAAGGAGAAGGAGGAAAATATTCTCACTCTCTGAGAATGTTTCTATCGATTGACCTTGAAAGAGAATAGAGCAAAAAAGACAGAGCAAAAGAAAGAATAATTCATCCAGACGAATATGAGAGAATTGAGATAATCTTAATTTCTTAAAATTCTAATCATACAACAGTAATTAACTGCTAGATTATTGTAGACAAAGAAATGAATAACTTAACAGAGATCATCAATTTCGGAACCATTTTTCTCTATTCTATTCATATGGTTATCATGTAAAGAGATGGAAATTCTGACAGAATGAGAAGAATAAGAAAACAATAAACTAACCAAGAGAAAAGTCTTGATAACGTTTAATTGCTGCTCTTGTTCAGTAGACAATTAATCGACTTGAAGTTAATTGTAGTTCGTATTCAAGTGTCATCATCATTGCCAATCATCAGTTACCATGGAAATATCAGAAAATGATGTAAAGGAAACAACAATGTGTAAGAAATAATAATAATAAGTAGTGATGAAGATGATGATAAACAATAATTTACTCAATAGTCAACTAGATTAGTCTCACAACTTTAATTATATATTATCATTATTACTCTGGAGCAAGATGATGAAAAAATTAGTTAATCATTTTCATCACAATCTAAATGATAATATAAGACAAGGAAATAATAATTGGCTAACAATAAACTCAACAAGGATCAAATTAGTTTATTAATATCGGAATATGTATTATTATAAATTTCAAGGTGATTTTAGAATCAACAAGTTCACAATCAAAATCAATTGTCAACAGTTAATTAGTTGGCTGATGAAAATGTCGTCTTATCATTGAATATTATCAACAGATTAAACTTATCGCAAGGGATTAAGATTAAGTTTGAAAGAATATTAATCTCAGACAATAGCTTAATTTACTTTATTTTCACATGATTCATTACCGATTATCACCTGATTCATGATAATCAATGAAAACGCCATGAAAATCACCATGAAGAGAGAGAGAGAGAGAGAGAAAACAAGAAAAAATTGAGCAAAGTGAAAAAAAAGTTTTCACCTTGAATTGGGATTAATTTCAATTTGCAATCAGATTAATCAGTCCAAAAGTAACATGAAAGAGGATTGTAAATAAGCTTTTGTCTCTTCCTGTCTCATGAAAGAAAAGTTGATCATATTGTTCATAAGTTACCATGATGATGACGATAAAGAAAGATATCAAATTTTTGTCAGCAATATTATTAAAAAAAAACACGATAATAATAATAATTACAAGGGAAGAATAGAAAAATGTAATAAGTTGACAGAATTACACCAATATATTTATCTGTTATTCAGAACTTCAAGAATGCTGAATATGCTCAAAAAGAATATAATAAAGTCAAGGTTATTCATCCAATATTTTTCTCTTTACAGCCTTACAAAAGAGAGACTTATCATCATTTTATCCTCTCTCTCTCTCTCTCTCTTTCTTTCTTTCTTTCTTTCTCTCCACCTCCACCTCTCCCTCTTCAACTTAGTTTATAAAGATAATTGAAATTCCCTGTAAGATGGTTACCATTTTACATGGTAAATCATGTTGACCAAAAGTAAGTGGACTTTAGAAGTGAGTGAAACAAGAATACATAATACATATGATATAAAATTCAGTATTCATGAGATGAAAGTTATCATCATGATGCGAAAAAGTTATTAGATAGTCAATTGTAACCTTTTCGTTTTCACTTTGTAATATTAGTAAACTTATTTTTTTTGAAAGCACAAGAAATTCACCAAAAATAAACTCGAATGCTAAATTAAAAGTATCGGTCACTCACCATGGATGGCCAAGTGCTTGTTTACAGGTATATCTTTTTGTTGGATTAACGCAGATAAGGTGAGAGATAAAATCTTTCGCTGAATCGGAAATATCATCCCAATAGGGTGAATCGAATTCAAAATCACCTTTGACAATCTGAGCAAAAAGATTGGCATCATTTTCATCATAAAAAGGCGGATATCCACATAATAGGATATATGCAATTACCCCGATGGACCAAATATCGACCGCTTTACCGTAAGGTTTTTGTGATAAAACTTCGGGTGCCACATAACCGGGTGTACCACAGGCTGTTGCCATAACACCAGAATCCTCCATTTTGGAAAGACCAAAATCACTAATCATTATCTTTGAATCAGGATCTTGATTGTAGTAAAGCAAATTTTCAGGTTTAAGGTCACGATGGACGACACCCTGACAGTGCATATAATCAACGGCCTCCAAAATTTGACGGATAAGGGCACTTGCATCCTTTTCGGTGTAACTTCCTTTCTCGACTATCCGATCGAAAAGTTCACCTCCGGTAACCAATTCCATGACCAGGTAAACCTTTTGTTTATCTTCATATGTTTCCTTTAACTGGACAATATTCGAATGGTTCAATTTTCGAAGTACTCGAATTTCATTTTCAAGTGAATCCTCTTTTCCTTTAAGAGCTTTTTTATCGATACACTTAACGGCGGACAATTGACCTGGACGCTCTTTACTTTCGGCAAGAACTACCTGAGAAAATGCTCCACTATGTATGTTATATTAAATATATAAGTTGATCGAAAAAAAAAGAGAAAAAAAAATGAAAAATATCCAATTAATATTCAATTAATTCTATTGATCAGTCAACATGGAAAATTGAGTTAATTGTAACAATCAACTCTCAATCATTTACTCTCGTGTTGGGTTAATAATTGATTATAACGTTAATTTATTTCGGTTCAGGTTCTTATAATTATTGTTGTTGTTTTCGCATCAGGTTAGTTGTTTTTCCAGTAACAATTTACCTGAATTTTTGTTGCTATTATATTGAAATAAACAGCAACAATCAACGTCAATGAATTCACGTAAATCAAAGTGAGAGAGAGAGAGTGAGAGTTGATAATGATAATGATAATTTAGTGAGATTGTAATTGTGTGAGTTGTTTCATTCAAGGTTACCTGATGATATACCTTAGTAAGAGTTGCACTGTGGCTACAATCAAGTTAACTAATCAAGGGTTTCATAAGTATTGTCACAATTTAATAACCCATTTCGCATTAAGATTAAGGATTAATAATCAAACAATCAGGCAAAAAAAAAAATTATGATTAACTCATCAGAAAAGAGGAGAAACATTAATAATAATGAAAAAATCAATAAGAAACAATCAATGGAAAACATTAATTAGTTTCACTTTCTTATTATCATGTAACCAGAACTTGTTCTTGGTGGATTAACTTAATTGTAGTAATTTTCTGATAGTTGGATTAGTGATTAAATTGTTTGTAATGGATTAACTGTTACAATCTTTAGCCAATCTTATTGTTGACCATTAACTATTGATTATAATTGAGTTGGTAAACTTAACTTTCATTTCACTTTCACCCTTCACAATTAAAAATTCAAATCATTTATCAACTCTAATTATACCAATACCAATTAACTGTTTTCCAATAATTATAATAATTAACAAGTCAATGTGTTCATTTTAATAGGACTGACATTGATTAGTAGTAATTAAAATTTTCATTAAAAAAAAATCATTTATATAAAAATTGTCAATCAAATTGTAATCAATTTATGTTATACAAAAGTTAATGGTAGCAATTAAATTGTACAATTAAGTTGGTTAATAATAATATATGATACCTGGAAATTGATTGAGTGAAAAAAAAACACCAATGATTAGTTGATTGCAATCAAATTACTAAACTCATTTCTCACTTATTGCAGATTAACAGGCAAGGTTATAATTATTGTTCATTTTATCTTAATTGGATTAGTTAATTAGACAATTTATAAGAAAATTGAATCGTAGTGTGTATCATGTTTTCTCATTGATTGTATTTAAATTGAATATTAAGATATAACTCTATGAGTACAAGAACTTATCATCATGAAATGGTAACAGTGATTTCCATGGTGTTTTTATTACTGACATGTAATAAAAGAAAAAGTGTCAACCATGTTAAAGAAAAAATTGATAAGCAACAATTAACAATTGAAGACTAATTAAATGGATTAATTGTCTTCATTAACCGGTAATTAATCATTTGATTGAGCAAACTCACGTTCCAAGAACATCTTTCAGATCGTATTTCTCATCGATTCTTGATGATTCCTTTTTAACCTCTTTCTTGTGAAAAAGAGGCATTTTCTTCCAGAATTTGGCGACAATTGTGGCGTAGAGATGAAGACAAGATGAGAGAGAGAAAATGAGAGAGTGGGAGAGAGGGAGAATTTTCAATTCAATAACAATGGAATTGGAAAAGAGATCACAAGTCACACGAGTTGAGAAAAATGTAATAGAAGCACAAGGAAAATAAACTAAAAGATATTATGATTCTTTCTGAGTATATTTATGATGATGGAATATGATGATGATTGTTAGAGGAAAAAAAGAATACAATTTATAATATAATATAAATGTCTAAGCAATTAGATAATTTGTCGACTAAGATGATAAAAGTCAACACATTCGCTGATGATTTTATCCTTCCAATTGATGATCCTTTGGGTGGTAACAAGGTGATTGACAGTTCGTATTGGTTGGATCACTTTTCCATTCACTTCATAAGGATAACCTGTTGTTGTTTCATTATTTTCATTTTTTGCTTTGTTGATTTGTTGATGACGATCAAGAAAAAGGAAAAAAAAATAAGGTACTTTTCTTGATGTTTATTGTTGTGTTGATGTAACTTCACTCAATGGAGTAGAATAGGAGAGAGAGAGAGAGAGAAAGGAAAAGCGAGAGAGATTGAGAGAGAAATGTTATCACTCTCTCACCTTTTTATCGAATTTGCTTCAAGTGACATCTAGTGAATTTATTTTAATTCTTTAATCGATCGAGAAGAAGATGATAGAATTTCCAATTCAATTATTTCGAATTGGGATAATTTTTTTTCTCTCTCAAATGATTAATCCATTTACCTTTCTTTATATTGATTATCCAAAAATGTAAAGATTTACTGATGAAAGATTAACAAAAGTTTACTTGAGATCAATCATAACGAAAGTAATCAAAATTTGAATGCATTTTTTTTCTTCTCTCCAACAATTAGTTGATTGTGATGATGATTAATGTTCAGGGTCATGACAGGTAACATAAGATACATGGTTAGCCAAGGAATTAAAGGATTGAATAACGGATTTAGAGGTTAATCAAATTTGATGAATACTCTCTCGAGATTCACTTAACAGTTTCATTAATGTTCAATTCAATTGATGAATTTTTTTTTCTCAATTACAATTAAATCAAATTGAAATGAAATGAAATGATCTTATATTCAATTCATTTTCTCTGATTCTTTAATCTTGTTCATCTTATTTGATCATCATTTTTCTCAATATTCTTGTATTATATTTACCATGTTATTGCCGATTATCAGGTAGAATTGATTGATTGAAGTTCTTTTGCTTGATTTTTGGTGAAGAGAGAAAAAGAGAAAAGTTCTAAAAAGAAAATAGAGAAAAAAAATGTTCAACGAAATTCGAATGAATCGAATTTATCTTATTAATTGTTCGATTCTGTTGTTTACCTGTTCGATATTACTCTCAGTTTGTGCCAAGTCAAGAAACGACGATGAAAGTTCTGGTAATAATATTATCGTTCTCGGTCCTGGTGGGGAATTAGCGACATCCCGATATGTTCCTCGAAAAACCGTTAAAAGTGGCAACACAATAATCATTTTAGGAACTGGAACAAATTCCAATAACGGGCCATCGAACTCAGGGCAATCCGATAAGTCGTTAAGTACGTCAACACCACCACCACCACCACCGCCGCCGCCAACGTTACCACCTCCATCTCCATCTCCGTTGTCGGATTATGATTATCATCAACATCGATCATCAATTTTATCGCAAAGATTTGTCCATGAACCATTGTCGAAACAACATCATCTCCTTAATCGTCTTGCTCATGAAAAGTTACGAAATTTAGAATCGATTAAATGTTCAAAAGGTTCTAAGTGTAGTTCGAGCGTTTCACCTTTGACACGATTCATTCCAATCATGATTCCTTATGTTCCAAAGAATTGTAAGTAATTAAAAGCTCATCAATTTATCGTTTTCGAAAATATTAATCAAGTGAGTTTTTTCTTCTTTTTCCTTTCAACTTTCGAACCGTTCGAAAGATAAAAAACCTCGAACAAAGGTTCGAAAGGGTCAAAGAACCTTAGAAAGTCGAGTTCATTTCCAAAAATGGCAGCAAAAGATTCGAAAGTTGATCCAAATGAGCCTCATATTATCATTCGAAAGATTAAAAATTCACCACCGATTCTAATCGAAGAGGTTAAAGGTTCCGACGATAATTTCGTTAACTATCATGTGACTAACGATCCATCGTCGAGAAACTTTTCTCCCACCGAGACGATAAGTTCTTCTGGATTATCACCAAGCCAATCAGTAAATTCTCATCCAATCATCTCATCTTCGACATCTTTATCACCTCAATGACCTCGAAAAGTTCAGTCGATCGATCGTCAACTTCAAGTCCACCAAATGCTCACATAGAATCCAACAAAATTTATACCAATAGAATAGACAATAATCACCATGACGGATTCTCTGAAAATACTGAATCAAAAGAGATTAATACACACAAATTGATAAAGAGTATCGATAATCTAAATGATAACATTAATTCACTGAAAATGATGAAGAACAGTAAAAGTTACAATGACCATTCAAGTCTATCTGGTCAATCATCTGATCAAAGAGTATCAACTTATTCATACGGTGTTCCAATTCAATCACCAACAGAACCAAATGATCCAGATTTACCAATAATCAATGATTCAGGTGATGGAAGTGAACAGGAAGTTTATGATGAGAAAATGTTCAATCAATTATATGGATTTGATCAGATTCCATCAGTTGACATGACGAATCTTCCTGGTGAAGATCATCCCAATGGTCATCTTATTCCTAACCTGTTGATGTCAGATAATCAAGAGAATGAAAATGAAATGGAAAATCGTAACGATCCAATGGACAGTCTATTATTTGACCAGAACTTTTCTCTAAGCGAAAACTTTGATTCCCTTGGACCAAAAAGAATGAGTTTCAATGAGAATCCAATGGAAAATTCTGAGTTAGAATCTCTTTTAACAGGAAAACCCGGATGGATTAATGGACAAAATTCTGTTCCAAAGCTATTCAATCCATCGTCTTTACATGAAAAGGTAATATTATAATTCTTTGAGTAATCAATTGATATTTCGATATTAAATCCAGGAAATTAAGTTCTCATATGGGAACACAATTGAAGGAAAAACAATGAAGATATGATAATCTGGTTGAAAGAGAAGAGAAAAAAATAGAAATTAGAATTGACGATGATTTTTTATTCTTTTCTCATTCATTACCAAATTGATTAACATAATTAAGATAATATTCCACCTTAATTAAGGTAATATAATTAAGAATAGGAAGAATAATTTAGTAAAATTGTCACGGAAACAAATGATTACCTGAGTTTGTGTGAATATCCAAACAGTATGAAGATTCATCTCTCTCTCTCTCTCTCTCTCTCTCTCTCTCTCTCTCTCTCAGTTGATTAACTAAATTAATGCAAGTAAATCAGTGTGTCATGTTAATCCATCCATTAGTGATTAGTTTAAACACTGTTACCTGTTGAAGATTAACAAAAAATCCAACATGATTAGCTAATTATAAGGCCTGATTATTTTAGGAACAAAATTTGAAATATGAGAAAAAAAATCAAAGAAAATAAAAAAATAATTTTACCTTTTTTCCATATAGAGAATTGATCTATTCCAATTATTAGATTGTAACTCTTTCCTCTTCCTCTTGTGTTAATTAGTTTATAAGATTAACTAATTAGATGACTAATCTAATTGTAAACACACACAAATTATGAATCTTAATTAAGTGAGGTAGAGAGAGAGAGAGAGAGACAATGTTGTCAACGCCTCACATTGGTCAATATAAATAGTGTTTGATTGTTTACCTTTTGTTTGCACTTGAAGACAATCTGATGAGAGATTAACTTAATTTTTTGATTTTCTTTTCTAATTGTTTGTTAATTACAATGATGGAAATTCGATTAATTGTTCTATTCTTACTTTACCTGTTAATTGTTCCAACACCAATGTGCTCAAGTGGATACAGGAGGAGAGGTCAAAGGTTTATCCTTTCTCTCGGTGGTGGTCTTCTTGGATGTAGACTTAAGGTAAGTTTTAATTGTTGTGTTAATCGTGTTAATTGTGTTCATTAATTGCTTCTCATCTTAGAGGTTATTGAGAGATATGGGAATGTATCATGATGATCACTTGATTATCGATTGTGTTTCATTTTCTAATCTTCTTGTGTTTCGATTAACTTTGGCGGAAGAAAAAGTTTTTTAATTGTTGACTGGCGATTCCTTGATTGTAATTGATGAATTTTTTTTTCTGCTTTTAATTTAGACAGTGACGATTCCTCTTCACTTTCCAATTCTTCATCATGATTATCATCATCATCATAATCACCATAATCATCATACACACCATGGTGGTGGACATCATCATCACTCCTCACACCATCATAAACCTGACCATTGGTCATCTCGTAATGATATTATACCGTGAGTACTTTGATTGTCATGATTTGTTTAAACTTTAGTTAATTGTGATTCTTTTTATATATTATCGGAATAATCATTTTCACTTTTTTCATAGATTACATGGTAAATGGCATTATCCAAATCATTACATTCATCATCCATTAGTATGGGTTTAGGACGAAGTGTTTTCCTTGAAATGTCCAAAATGAACTTTAAGAAATATTTATTGGTTTTAATTAGATTGATGGAGAAAATGTATTTTCTTTAATTACCTTTTGTAATCTTTCAAATTGTTTATCATTATTATTATTCTGTTAAAATTAACTCTAAAATATATAAACATGTAAATTTCCCGCTCCAAAGTGACCAGAGTTTGATTACTTTTGGTACCAATCAATTTACTATCACTGATGTCACAAAGCCTTCAATAGGTCACCTGTGGTCAAGATATTTTGAGAATTGACCTAACCTTTAGAGTGGAAGATAAAATGTATTGATAATTTGTTAATTTTCACGATAACTATAAGTTCCAAGAGCCAACGATTGATTAATCGAGCCATAATTTTAATCTAACGAAGGTGAACAATTTAAATTGGACCAATTAACTGGGAATCTCATCAATTTTATCAACTATCTGTTGTTTAATTTTCTTAATTATACTGGAATCAACGACCGATGCTCATCATTTTCAACGGCGAACAAAAAGTTTGTCCAAATTTATGTATCGAAACTTAAAAGAGACCAAATTGTTTCCGTTCCTCAAGAAGCAAATTAAAAAGTACTCAAAGTAATTAGAGACATGAAACAATCGGAATACCATTAATTTTACATGATCACTATGTAAGAACAATCAACTATTAAATTTACCTTTGATTTCCTTGTCAAAATTGCGAATTTTTTACCAAATTTGAATAAAATTCTCATTATTAATCTTGGAACAGAATTCAGCATTCTAATATTGGGAAAAGTTCCTTAGGCAGAGATGAAATTAAACATGAACAATTTAGAAATACTTCTCATCGATGAACTTTATTTTCTTGTCAATAAATCGGTTGTGTCTCTTAATTAGAATCTATTTTGACGGAATTGACCTCGATTTCATTTCTGATTCCGTCCGAGTTTGAAGAGATAGAAACAGTTATATTCTTAGAGTCCAATTTTCGAGTTACATATCGAAGAGTTTCAATATCGATGTTCAGTTTGATCTCCACACCGTCAGGACCATTTAATTTAATACTCGCTGGTTGGGATCGACTGTAAATAGAGATCAATGTAAATACGAATCGTTAGATTATCTGAATATTTCGAGAAAGATTTGAATACTTACACTAAAATCTCACAGATTATCATTGAAATGGCCATTACGAAAATTATGTAAATTCCAGTATTTTGCAAGCTTAATCGGTGAGGTAGCGGAGGTGAAGATGGAGATGACCATTGTGAGGTTGGTTCGAACTGACAAGCAACTTGTCTTGTACCAGAACACGAAACTTCATGAGTTAATTTTCCACTTAGAACATTGAGTTTACCACAATTGGATATTCCTTGAGTCCAGAAATTGACCCATTTGATGTCACTTTTTTCTAATTCATTGAGTATTCGAATATTATTATAAAGTAAAGGAGAATCTCGAGTTAGCGAATAAGGAATTTGGCCATTTCGAGCACTACAGAATTCGATTGAATCACTGAAAGTTAACTTTCTATCGAAAAAAATATAACAATACTTTTCATCGATTCCAATAGCTACTTTTTCACCTTTAAAAGATGGACACTGGTCAATAGTAAACGCTTGACAATAAGCGATCAAGGTAAACAACAATACAAAAGGGGAAGTCATTGTAATGGTCAAGATGAAATTCGTTCGAATGTTTTTTAACAAATGAAATAATTTTTTTTCTCGAAAGGAAAACATAACAATATCGATGAAATTCAATCAATCGGATTAGACGAAAAGTCCAAAACCAGTTATCGGAGTTTTGACCAATCCCGTTGAGAAAAAATCCCCTGAGGGTCACAACTCACTAACTACAAGTTTTCTTTCTCAATTAACGACTTACCTCCACCAAATTAACACTTTACCCATTCACTGAAAGTCTTTAATTAAACTCCAATCAATTAGTTAATTTAAAGAATTGAAAATATTTTTCTCTTCGAAAATTGAACTTCGATTAGATACTTAATACAGAGATCATTTGAAGAATTCATTTTTCTTTCAGCTTTAAAACAAAATTGAGAATTAATTTTTCCAAAAAAAAATCATTAGAATATTGAGAAAGCAATAAGTTAATTGTTGCAATCGATTAAAATGTTGATTAAATTTCAATCGAAAACAGAATTTGAATTACGCGCTCTTCTTTTTTCTATGACTAATTTTCGCCGATTATCCAATCAAATTCACTGTTCGGTTGTGGATGTTGTTGTTTTTTTCTGGTTCATCTTTCCAACCAAATGTTTCAATTATTTTCTTAATTGTAATTTAATTGCAATTTTTTAATTTCTTTTCTCGTTAATTAACTTTTTCTTTTTCCTTTTTCATACAAAGAATATAATTTAATTATGTCAGATCGAAGAGCTGAACTAGAGAAGAAGAGACAACGTTTAGCTCAGTTACAAGCAGAAAAGGAGAGACGTCAAAGGGAAAAAGAAGCTGCTCTTGCTGAGGTAAGAAAATTATTCTTTTCTATTTCATCTTGATTCTTTTCATTGTTAATTTTGTTCTTTCTTTTTTGATTGTTTTTATTCTCGATCTAATGTTGTTTTTCTATTATCTCTCGTTTGATTATCTATTTTTTCCTTTAAACAGCAAGCTAGTGCCAATGTTGCATCTTCAGGGAAAAAAACTGGAGATCTCAGGCGAGAAGAGGCTAATGTCATATTTGCCGAGCTTGGAATTGATCCTGTTGGTGATATTACACAATTAGTGACAAGTCAACCAGCAATCGAAGTGACCAATGAAGTTATTACCTTAGAACATCCAGTGGAAGAGCCAAAAAAGAAGACGATCAATTTAACATTGGTTAATATCAATGAGATTAACATTCCTCCCAAAGAAAGTGTAACTTACAATAAACAAACACAGACAGCGGATTCAGGAAGAGATGGTAATTGTCATCCAAACCATATTAACTACTTACCTTTAAAACTATTCTTTGTTTTAAAACGAAAGGTTAATCATCTAAGTGCTTTCTGCTTTTTCAATGAAGTTTTCTCTCTTTCTCTCTAAAATCACTTTCATTGATAGCTAATTCTTTCCTTTTTTAACACTCAAACCTCATTAATTTAAATCACATCTTATTCATTAGCTAAGTGACTTAATTTTCCAAAGCTACTAGATTAACCTTGATAACTAAATTTCTCTTTAAAAATGCTTACAATTAATTTTGAGGATTTCCTTACCGTTCACCAGGTGATGGACCTTCCAAAAAGAAAGGTTGTTAAATCTTCTAAACTAATGCTTATTTTAATCTCTAATCTTAATCGCATGAAAAGAATAACTAATTTAATCATTTCGATGAACCCGCTTGGCTACAATCAAGAACTAATTCCTACCCTATCTCTCTTTCTCTTTCTCTCTCTCTTTCTCTCTATTATATATTTCTCTATTTCTACAGCACATCCTGTGGACTACTATGGTAGGTAACCCAAAGCTTGTTCACCTTTCATCTCTCTCTCTCTCTCTTCCACCTCCATAACTCTTCCACCAACACCCAAATTCTTAATTTCTAATTGCTGGCTGATTATTCCGCTAACAATTCTCTCTCATTCTTCATCTCACCTCTCTCTTTCTCTCTTCTTTCTCTTTCTCCCTTTCTCTCCTCTTTCTCTCTGCGTAATCTAACTACTTCTAACCATAGTTATTCACTGGGACGAAGGTATAATCAAAAAAAACTTACACAAACAAACATACTACCAATCCAAGAAACCCTTTTACTTTCTCAAAATTTTCTCAATCTTTCTCTCCCAATACACCAATTTAATCACAATCACAATCACCACCACCACCACCACCACCATCACCAAAATGATTAACTAATTCGATCCTCCAAAACAAAACAAAATACAATTTTGTTTCGAAAAATTAATTGATTGCTCGTGAATTCAAACTCATCCTTCCCCAACCCGATAAATCACATACCCATCTCTCTATCTCTCTTCGCCTTATTCCTTAACTTAAATAACCCATTATTAAAGAGACCGATTCCGTCGATTTTTTAGAATGGGAAGATGAATTCCAAGGTATGTTTCTAAACATAAATTGATTAATCTGAAAGATCATGATCCTTATCACATTATACTCTCTCTCTCTTTCTCTCTTCCTCCTAATCCTAATCCCAGCTATATGTTAATCCATATGTCTCATCTCTTATGAGCTTTCATCCTCTATACTTTTACCCTTCGTCCTTAGTTAACCTTTAACAACGTTTAATTTTATCGAATTATGTAAATTTAATTTTAATTTATCATTTCTTTTTTTCCATTTACAATCAAAATCAGTTTCTTCTTAATTTTCTGTCTGTTCTCTCTCTCTCCCTTATTCTCACTCTTTCTCCTATTCTAATTAATACTTAATTGCTTGGTTGGTTTTGTTTATGATGTTTTTATGTCAATGTTATCGCTTTGTTAGCACATTAACACCGATTCCATTCAACTCTAACATTGCATGAATATTAATTTCACCTTAATTTCTATCATTTGGTTATACCTTGGTTCCAACGGTTTTTTTTTCGTTTCTTGTTAAACAAAATCATTTGTTTAATCATATGATCGTTTTTTATGTTGCTCCCATTTTTTACCATCTTCTCTCTCTCTCTCTCTTTCTTTGTCTTCCCAATACCTTAGCCTTTGCTATTATTTTACCTTTTTTTGCTCTCCCATGTCTATCCCTCTCTCATTCTCGTTTCTTGAGACAAAAATGCTAAAAAAACATGAAAAACCGAATTATATTCTCATCCTTGATTCTCATGCTAATTTTTGGTTACCCATTTTCTGGTTGATTTCTTTGGTTATCTTTATACTATTTGCCACTATTGAAAATGCTTCGACTTATTTATCTAAATAAGTGCTCACCTATGATGACAAATACGCTCACGATGAGGAGGATGCTGAAGGATCGTCACTGCAATACGGGAATTCGACCATTTTTCCAAAAGTATCTCGTCAAGTTTCAACCGGAGGAAGTGGATTACCGAATGTTGGAATGGTTGAACCTGCCAAGACTCCATTGGAACGTGAAACTCGAGAAGAAATAAAGGAACCCGTTAAAGAGAAAAAAGAATTAACCGAGGAAAGGAAACTTCAAATAATGAATAGTCCAGAATTTCTCAAATTTTTTGACCGTGCAACTAGAATAGTTGAAAAAGCGCTATTTTGGAACGAGTCACCCGACATATTCATCGATTATACCGGAGCAAAAGAGGATATGGAAAGGTAAACATAAACCATTACCATCACTCGTCTCATTGTTTGATCTCAGGAAATTATAAAAAATCTTTCTCTCAATTTCTATTCACTCCTTCACATGGTCATATAATTTCTGAGTATAAGGCTCAGTAATTATCTCTTTTTTTTCATGAATTTCATACAATCAAAACGACGCTTTAGAAACGTTTGAATCAACATACAACCTTTTTTTTTCTTACGGAATCGTTACACTCATTTCAAAGTCAATTCTTTGAGTTTTTTTGCTATTTACTAATATTTCAGTTTGTTGTTGATTCAAAAGTTTTGACGCACTTTAAATTGTCAATTGAAATAATGACTTTCACTGTAAAAGATTTACGTCAACTAAAAAAACAATTGCCTTTATTTTTCAGTGAGGATCAATCGGGTGCTAGTCTTACATTCAATAAATGTTTCTACGATGAAAGATGGTCCAAAAATCGTACAGTTACTTGTTTCGATTGGTCAGCTCAGTTTCCTGAACTATTGGCCGTTTCATACAACAACAATGAAGACTCTCCAACAGAACCTGATGGTGTTTGCCTTATCTGGAACATGAAATTCCGTAAAACTACACCTGAATATGTACTTCATTGTCAATCGCCTTTAATGTCAGTTTGTTTTGCTAAATTTCATCCTAATCTGATTGTCGGTGGAACTTATTCTGGTCAAATTGTACTTTGGGATAATCGAGTTAACAAACGAACACCAATCCAACGAAGTCCACTTTCAGCATCAGCTCACACTCATCCTATTTATTGTATTCAAGTTGTTGGCACACAAAATGCTCATAATTTGATTACCGTTTCAACCGATGGTAAACTTTGTTCATGGAGTTTAGATATGCTTTCATCACCTCAAGACACCATGGAATTGAGTCAACAAAAACAAGCCAAACCGGTCGCTGTAACATCAATTTCATTCCCTTACGGTGATTATAATAATTTTATTCTCGGCAGTGAAGAAGGTGCCGTTTACACCGCATGTCGACACGGGTCAAAAGCTGGAATTCTTGACATTTACGAAGGTCACCAAGGTCCAGTAACAAATGTCGACTGTCATTCTGTAAATACTCAAATTGACTTTTCCCATCTATATTTGACATCGTCAATTGATTGGACAGTTAAACTTTGGAGTATGAAAGATAAAACTGGTAAACCATTATACTCCTTTGAAGATAATTGTGATTATGTTTACGATGTTCGATGGTCACCCGTTCATCCCGCTCTATTTGCCACCGTTGACGGAATGGGACGAATCGATGTTTGGAATCTCAATAATGACACTGAACTTCCAACAGCGACAGTCGCTCTCGATGGTAGTCCAGCACTTAATCGAGTAATGTGGACACCATCGGGTAATCAATTAGCAATCGGCGATGACAATGGAAAAGTTTACATTTATGATGTTGGAGAGGTGAAATTTCAATTTCATTTTCCATTTGATTATATTTTGCAATTGATTGATCGGTTTATTAATTGTTACAATTTTTTTCTCTGTTTTTTTCTTCCAGCAACTTGCTTATCCAAAAGGTGATGAATCAACTAAATTGATGCTGACATTGCAAGAATTAAAAATGAATAAAGTAGAACCCGATGTTACCGAAATCAGCAGTGATGCCGCTTATTCAAGCATGTCTTCAACTCTATCACCTTTTTCAAGTCAATCACTACGTTGATTACAGTTTTAATTACAATCAAATTGGTTACTATTTATCAAAAATTATGATGGACCAAAGTGGTTTTCTTTGTAAATTTACAAAAATGAAGCAAATCCAACGGATTTAAATTTATAAAGTATCGATTTTTTTATCCCGTAATCATACATGTGAAATAAATTCAATATTATTCAGAAATCGTAACAATTAACAACAGAATATAAAAGTAACAATTGTCACACTTGAAACCGTGAACTTGATTAAGTTTATATTGAGATTAATTAATTGTTTCTGAATGAAATTGTTACGCTATTTTTTACTCAGTTTTAATTATAACTGAAAACAAAAACAAAAGCTAAATTTGATTATTGTTTACAACAATTTACTAATTTAGAAACAGTGATTACCCTATTCTCTTACTAACATTGGCAAACAATTAAGCCGAAAGTTTTATAATTGACTTGATCTCTCTTTTTTTGATCCAGTTAATTAACTTTTCCACTTTCTACTTAATTTTAATTAACTGTTGGTTAACTTTGTTGCAAAATGATTAACATAATGATCACTTTTATTATGAAACTTTTCAATGTAAATTAACTAATTTAGTAATTTGAATGTGATCCATTTGGCAACAATTTACACAACAAACAGTAATCATCATCATCACTTTAATTGCTACAATTTGATGTTAATTAACATAGTCAAGTGGCAATTTAATCAATTGAATCTAAAAATTTCTTGCAACTTTCAATCAAGATTCACTTTGATTTAGTTAACTATAATTGACGATTATTAGTAATATACGCAATTGATTAACTTGAATATTACTTATCAACAATTAAAAATTGAGATCAGTTAATAAGATTAAATTGTCAAATATCTTAATGTTAATTGTTTGACAAATAATTTAAACTTTAAAGTTTTTTAATTCATTTGAAAATGAACAACAGATTAATTTAATTGAAACTGACTAATTAGAGGGTTTTCCAGTTGAAACAATTTAAAAATCCGTGTGATTGTTTAATTGTTATGTTGATTTTTACAATAGTTGAGTAGTTTGTTGATCACAATTTACTGATTCTTGTTTGTAAACAACAGTTTGACAGTTTTTTGGCTCTGGTAATAAAAGTCAATCTAAAAATAAATCACTTCTTTTCCGAGTAACTTTAATTTAGTTAACTTGATTGTGATATAAAATCCGCTGGTTTAAATTTAACAATCAACACAAAACCTTTTCCTTTCAACAGAGTAACAATCACAACACAATCTAAATTGTAATCAGTGAAAAAAAAAAGTTCAATTCAACTCGTTGATTTTGTCGATTCTTAATTGGGTGATAATCCACAACAATCAATACAATCATGGGATTAATAACAATCTATTCAACATGCGATAATATTTGTGTGAAGATAATCATTAATCATGATGATGCTTCAAGTGAAATAATCAAGTATCTTGACGAGAGCGGAATCAAATTTGACAACGAAATTGGTACAAATTTCGAGAGCAAAAGTGACCGAGCATTGAAAAATCGTGAAGAAACAACCAGTAGCTTTGGCGGAAGTGACATAACAATTAAATTCACCACCGGATGTAAAGTAGCAGCTCTTTCATTAGTTAATCACCTTCGACGGGAATTTGGCTGCAATTTATCAGCAGTAACCGGATTAGCCGATGGTGGAATCCTTTATATCCTTAATCATGCCACCCAATGGAGAGCCTCAATCCCCTTCCTGTCCACCGAGTAAACACTCAAACTGACCATTGAACAATTAACAAAGTGTTTAAATTGACCAATAAAGTTTAATCACTTTTCAAGAATCATAAGGATGATTATAAAAAGTTTTCATTTCTCCTCAATCTTATTACCAAACAAATCTAATGGTAATTACGATTACAATCAACTAATAACTAAATTAAGTAAAATAAAACTGATTTTTTGTACGAGCGGGCAAATCGAAAGGGTTAAAATCAGAAAGTGATTTCGATTAAAAAAAAGAACTAAACTTATCCTAATCCTCTAGATAGTCAGAAATTAAATTAAAAATATTGATTGCAATTATTAAAACTTGGAACTTATTTGATTAAATTTAATTGAGAAAAAAAGTTATTCTAATTAAAAGAATGGGATCTAGTTGCAATTTGGAAGATGGAGCCACGGTCTATGGGAATTTTACATAGAACAGTAATTGAACTTTTCTACTCCACCTGATTAAGGAAATAATCCAGACCAAGAATTAGGATTAACTCACTAATCCATCGGTTTTAAATTGTTGTTATCGCTTCAATTTCTTAATTTGATCGAGTTCAATACTTAATTTCAATCGTTTGAACTAATAGTTTTCTATTTTCTTTTGTGCCAATGTCAAGAGTAGGAAAAGTCAAAGATGAAGGGTCAACATCAAAGGTAAGTTTGTGTCGCCAAAAACTGTCACCAATACGATTATTATATTTTCATTTACTATTCCATTGACTAGGAAACACCCATGGAAATTCATGAAGATTCATGTCCAGATCTTGAAACTTTGATCCCTGCTAAAATCTGCAGAATAGCGGAGAGAGATGGGACTCCCAAGTTTTTAGTAAAAGTCGATCCACTTTGCATGTATGTAAGGCCCGATCAGATCAGAACTAAGGAAGAATTACTAGAAGCCGAACGGAAACGCTATCCCAGAGGTTCGTACGAATACAAGTGTCCCTATTGTGACCTCCAATATCGAGTATTGAAAAAGTATAAACACTCGCTAGTAGGAATAGATGGAATTTGGTTACCACCCACTTGTCCTGTTCGTAGATATTAACTTGGCGAAATCGCAAAGTGTATGACCAAAGGCCACACGAGAACCTGTAAGAATCTCTTGGGCCGAATCGTTCAATGACTTATCGACACAATCAGCTGACTGGGGAATCCTTTATATCCTAAATAATCATGACACACGACGGTGAACTTCAATCACCTTCCTGTCCACTGAGCAAAATTGACCATTAAAGTTGATCACTTTTCTACTAATAACATTTTAATAATATCAAATTTCTCGGTAATTTTGTCAATCATTAAACTCACAAACATAATTAGTTGTGATGGAAAATTTTGTTCAAGTTAGAATCCTGGTAACTTGATTTTTTGCTTTGTATTAGTAGTTCATCAAAGTATCATCCCTTTGATTGTCTGTGAACAATCAATATGTATTGAGGATATTATTAATTTTACATGTTTACTAATCTATTGATTGTTTCTTAAGCTATTGTTTACTTTTAAATTGTTGTCAAAATGTCAATCTCTTCATCAATGATTGATGCAAACTTGGAATCAGCAGCTAAATCAACTGGTGACTTTATTGGATCAACTCCAGTAACAGATAAATCAGATGAAACTGAATTTAGAGACTCAGAATCTGTTCATTCGGGTTATTTGAAGTTCTTGACTGCTTTAGCTGATAATCGTTTGGAATCAATTGATTGTTCACCAAAGTCTCAATCAATGAAGTCAAATGAACAATCAGATGCCCTGGAAAAATATGAATCTCATTCAGAGTTAAGTGAAATGAGTTCAGATCATTCAACTGATTCGGGTGAAAGTGATACTGATACTTTCTATTTGTATGGTTCACCCGATACAAGTGATGATGATTTTACTTTTCAGATCGATTCTGATGAAGATGATTACATCTTTTACCGACGAGAAAAGGCCAAACTTCGAGCTGAAGCTCGAAAAGTTTTTCATGGGACAAAAAGTAAAGAGGAAGAAAAGAAAATTGAAGAGAAATTGATTACCAACAATTAACTTTAATTCAGATGAAGAATCAGTTGATTTTTCATCCTCTACAATCACAATTAACCTCCAAATAGAAACTAATCAATTTAAAGTCAATTCGAATCGACAATTAATTGTAATTCCGCCAAATCTTCAACCATTATACTTATGATTACGGAAAAGGAACCAGACTGATTTATATTAATTGATGAAATCGATTCACTCTTAATTTCTCAGAATAACTTAATTTAGAAATTAAGATTTCTAAATTAAGTCTACCGATTCACTGTGATTAACACATTGTAATTTTTAACTATTAATAACAATCTTTTGATTGTAATGATTAACAATTGAATCATTGAGATGTAAGAAAAATATTGTGAATCGAGAGATGAAATCAGTCACTATTTTCATGAGATTTATGATTTAGTTTTAATTTAATTCATCTAATGTGTTGATGAGATTCAGTTAATTGTAATATGTTGATTGCAATTAATATATTAAATGATTTCAAACGGTTTAACATGTTCTTTATTACCTTTATTAACACTGTTGATGTTATTTTATGTGACGACGGGATTTTTTTTCAGCAAAGGTTCAATGTCGAGTAGTTGTCGTTCATGTCCATCATCAGGATCACTTAACTCTGAACAGAAAGCTATCCCGATCAGAATAGTTCAGCCTCAGGCCTCATTTCGAATGGTAAAACAAAGTGCTCCGGCCAGTTGTCCATGTGCTGCGACAGCTTCGTCCTGTGCGTGTGATACAATGAGATCATCATGTCCATCCGCGGGTGTTGCTCCATCGCCAGTTTCCCTTCCGACACCCATGGCTTGGGGTAGTCAGCCCACAATGACAATGATTACTAATTCGGGAAGCTGGACAATGACATTACCATCAACTGCACCAGCTCAGGTCCCAGTACCCGTCCCAGTACCAGTTCCTGTTCCAGTACCAACACCAACACCAGTACCAGCACCAGCACCAGTACCAATACCAGCTCCACCCGCTCAAATAATCACAATGCCACCAATAAATTCAGGTTGGGGTCCATCAGTTATACCCGCTCCCGCTCCTGTTCCCGTTCCAGCTCCAGTGGCAACTATGCCCATCGTAACAAATGGGTGGCAACCAATGCCACCTCGAGTTCAAATACCGCCATCAATACCACCAATGGGCTGGTCAATGCCGACCCCTTCACCCGTCCCTTCACCTGTCTCTCCACCCGCTATGATGATCATGGGTTGGGCTCCTAGTCCAGCCCCAGTCCCAGCCCCAGCTCCAATACCAGCACCTGCACCAATCCCTGCAATCATGATGGGCTGGGCTCCAGCACCAGCACCAGCTCGTCCCCCACCATCACCACCTCCAATGATGATCTTGGCTCCGTCAATGGGCTGGGGTAGTCCAGCTCCAGCCCCATCACCCGCTCCTGTCCCATCATCAGGCTGGGGCGCGCCAAGTCCAACCGGAAACTCAAAGTGCAATAATAAAGGTTGTGGGTCAGGTAAACAAAAGGTACTTTATATTGTCGTTGAAGAGCAAAAAATGACTCCGATGATGATGATGAAAGATAGTTGGGATTAATTAACAGAAATGATCCAAAGATGAACAATTAAAAATCCAAAAGTACAATTAAATGATCATTTTCTACAATTAATCAATACTCACAAATATCAATCACCTTGAACCATCTTTTTGTTTAATCATCAGCCCAAATTAATTAACCTGAAACTCTGTTATTTTTAGCTGAATAAAATTAAGGAAATTATAATCATCACAATTAACCGTTAATTGTTTCAATCACGATAAAAACATTTTGTTAACTAACCAAAAATGAACATTTATCACTATTGATATACTTTAAATGTAATTGTCACCTCAAAGGTGATTAATTGATGAACAAAAAATTAAGCAATAAATTTGGAAGAAATTAAAAGTTTAATCAATCAATTACGTTTCGTTATCAATCAATCCAACAATTAATGGAAGAAATTTTCTTCTCGATTACAATATGATCAGTAATCAACTCTTTTTAAAATTAGCAACAAACATCATGAAAATGCCACTATTTTCAAGGATTGACTGAAATGTAAGAAACAATTAGTTAATCAAGTCAAATTATCTCGACAATTAAAAACTTACATAAAGTAACGATGATTGAGTAGCTGCGAAAATATGACAAATTGTAACTCCGATTTCACCATTTTCGATTCGTTCTTGAGTCGAATTGATCTGGAAATTGGTAAATCGACAAAAAAGTTGATCAAATTGACCATAATTAAAGATGAAACAATTAACTAATTTAAATCTTACCCAAATTGATATCGATTTTGGGAAAATATTCACTCCTCGAGCCTGAAGATTGAAATTATTTTCCTGAATACTCATAATCTGAATAAAGTACCATGGAAATGAATCAATTAATACTAATCATTAACATGATAATTTCAAACAATCAACTAACCTTATTGTTAACTAAAAGACCAGAAAAATGAAGTAAAAATAAGTTTGAGAAAGCGGTTATTGCGAGCGATAAACTGATCACATTCATGGTAAAAGAACCCGAATCGACAAAAAGTCCCATGAACAGGCTGAAATCGGCAAGGAAACAAGAGATCAAATAACCAGTCCACATGGTCGTCGAAATGTCGACATTGTAAATTTTCAGTAAATTAAGAAGACGATTTTGTCTCTTCAAATAAGTTCGAATGGTTTTCAATTGATCCGCTAATTCCCGTGGGTCTGAAAGTCCATTTAACATCGTACCCGTTTCGTTGATATCAGAAAACGCAAGGAAAAGGTAAGGAACCAGACACATTGTATGAGTGTAGTACCAGAAAAGGACGAAAACATTGAAACAAAGTGGACCAGTAATTAGAAGTAACCAGAAAAAGTACCAGAGAAAATGGTAAACCGACAAATAGAGCGACGGGTTTTCGAGTGCGAAAACAAGGCAAAGAATGAACAACGATAAAGCCACGGTGGGGATTCCGATGAAGTAAAACTTCAATGCAATATAGAGATAAATCCTCCATGTGAAATAGTTTGTCGATGATAATAATTGGTTAGCAGAATCGAACCCTTTATATTTGATCTGATCGAAAAACTGAAACATCAACATTGGTCTACTCGATTCTTTAATGTGAACTGCTGCTCGTGAGGAGAAAAATAGTAAATAGTAAACAATCAAGTTCGCATGGAGAAAATTTTTACCCGGAGTGGAACTGAAAAAGTCACCAAGGTACAAAGAGTCCAGGGGATTGTCCGAATTCATCAAGATTATCGATCGAGTGCAAACGACAAAATACCAAAGATGATTAATTACGTGCCAAGTGTGTTGATAAGTTGACAATTTAGTTGATTGTTTGTAGCCTCGATTGCACGAATTGAATGTGTGACCTGAACTTTCCAACCGTTCAACTAACGATATTAAATATCCTTCGGAGATCACATTGGATTCAATGTAATTAGTTAGACGGTTTTTCAATTTAATCAACATTTTCACTGATTATTCAACTTTTCCTTAACTTAATTGTCTTCAAATGATCAACTAATTGGGTTATATCATCATTCAACTAGACAGTAACTATCATGCTCAAGATGAAGATTGATTTTCTCAACAGTTAATTTTACTGTTTTATTGAGAAAATTAATAAATGAATAAAGCGACAAGTTAATTGTTTACAAAGTTTATTTCCAACATTTTGTTTAATTCCAATTTTGTGTAATCTTCAGTACAATTAGTTTGTTGACAGAATTTTTGATTTACCAATTGATTAACTCCCCATTAACTTGACGAATGTCCATCAACTGATTGTAATTAATTATGTTATTAGAAATCAATCAGAATTTTTCGGTTGGTTTAATTGTTACTTAAACGACTGTGAACTTCAGTTCCTGCATGATGAAGTACTAGGAGATTACTGAACGCAGTACAGTTCGAAGATGTTCAGAATTGTGATGAACTGAATCAAGAGTGAGAACACAGAAAAAAATAATAAGTCATGATGATGGAATGTAAGAGATAATTGAAGAAACAATCAATAGTTAAACAGAAAGAGAGAGAGAGAGAGAGAGAGAGAGAGAGAGAGAGAAAATATGATGAAAAGAATAGAATTTTTTTCTTCTGTTTACTTTTCTATACACAGAGAGATTATGGATTTGAAACAGAAGATGAAGAAGATTAGAAAAATATTCTGGTGATCATCATGTTGAACCGAATCAATTGTTAAAGATAATGAGATGAGAACCCAAAACCTGTTGAAAGAGAAAATGAAGACAGAGAAGAAGAAGAAAAAAGAGACAAAAAAGGTAGAAAAGGTAGAAGAGAGAGAGAAAAAACGAGTGAGGGAGAAAAAAAGCTTCTCATTATGTTGATATTTCTTTTTAAAGTAATTTGGGTTTCATCAGCTTCTAATTTAAACCCTTATTGTTTACCATTTCCGGTTTTCATCACAACTCTTTGTTTACCAAAAGGAAACGATTCAAGCTCCAGTCTTTTTCTCAATATTAAATCATCTGGAACATTTACATAAATCTCTCTCAGACCAATATTAAAATATTCAACCAACACTTTTTCACGCTGAAATTTAGGTATCCTCGAGCACAAGAGCATCTTCACAGCCTCAGGGCAAATCTTATCATAAACCGCACATACTTCTCTTATTACGAAGATTAACATTTCACTTTCACATAAAGCCAATCTAAAATCTCTGGTTATTAACAGCTCAATTCGGTAATAATCACCATAATCCTCAACTCTAAATTCCAATATATCAGAAACGGGTCGTCCATTAGGTTTAGCAATCACATTTATAAGATGCTTTTCCACTAAATTAAAATTTTTGGTCATAAAAAAGAACACAGGAAAACTCTCATTAGGTTTAAGGTCCGACATGTTTACACTTTATTAAAGTGACTTTAATACTTGAAATAAGTTATTTGAAATAAGGAAGAAAAAAAGACGAGAATTTTTCTAGAGGAAATGCTAGATTTGTAATGTTTTCCCTCCTCTTTACCAATTCAACTTTCCAATGGAAAACAACCTATCCAAACGGCGGGTAATTTTCAATTTCCTCAAGATCCAAATTGATCACCTTACGTACGATTAAGTGCCAAGTGTGTTGATATGTTGACAATTTAGTTGATTGTTTGTAGCCTCGATTACACGAATTGAATGTGTGACCTGAACTTTCCAACCGTTCAACTAACGATATTAAATATCCTTCGGAGATCACATTGGATTCAATGTAATTAGTTAGACGGTTTTTCAATTTAATCAACATTTTCACTGATTATTCAACTTTTCCTTAACTTAATTGTCTTCAAATGATCAACTAATTAGGTTATATCATCATTCAACTAGACAGTAACTATCATGCTCAAGATGAAGATTGATTTTCTCAACAGTTGATTACTGTTTTATTGAGAAAATTAATAAATGAATAGATCGACAAGTTAATTGTTTGCAAAGTTTATTTCCAACATTTTGTTTAATTCTCAATACAATTAGTTTGTTGACAGAATTTTTGATTTACCAATTGATTAACTTTTCTTGAAATTAGCGACAAACATCATAAGTATCCCACTGTTTTCCAATACAAACTGTTTAGATGATTAGATTAGTGTTACAATTAGTTGATTGTTGAAATTTTTCGACAATTTAACTTACATAAAGTAGCGAGGTTTGAGTTGTCGCGAAAATATGACAAATCGTTATTCCGATTTCTCCATTTTGAAATCGTTCCTGAGTCGAATTGATCTTAATTGAGTCGAGAAAAATAATCTCTGTTTGAAATTGAACAATTAGCTAATTGTAATTAGATATTTACCCATAAAGCAATTGATTCTGGAAGTATTTTAATTCCTCGAGCTTGTAAGGAAAAGTTTTTTTGTCGAATGTCCATCAACTGATTGTAATTAATTGGATTATTAGAAATCAATCAGAAGTTTTCGGTTGGTTTAATTGTTACTTACACGATTGTGAACTTCAGTTCCTGCATGATGAAGTACTAGGAGATTACTGAACGCAGTACAGGCCAAATAGAAACTGATGATACTCATGATCTTAGAATCAGAATCGACGAAAAGTCCTAAAAATAAACTGAAATCTGCTAGAAAACATGAGATCAAATATCCCGTCCAAAGAGTTGCCTCCGAATTTGAATTGACAAATCTGATCAGATTCATGAGGAAATTTTGATTTTTCAGATAAAATCGTAAAAGTCGCAAATGGTCACCTAAGTTTTGCGATTCGGAAACATGGACTAACTTTAAGCCGATCGAGTTAACATAAGCCAAGGATAGAGATAAATAGCTAAGTAATGTCATAGTGTGAGTGTAGTAAAAGAAAAGGATGAAAACGTTGAAACAAAGAGGAGCCGTGATTAAGATTAACCAGAAAAAGTACCAGAGAAAATGGTAAACCGACAAATAGAGCGACGGGTTTTCGAGTGCGAAAACAAGGCACAACATGAACAGGGACAAGGCCACAGCGGGAATTCCGACCAAGTAAAACTGAATAGCGAGATAAAAGTGACTCCTCCAAGTGTAATAATCGGCCGATGATAATAGTTGACGAATCGATGTAAATCCTTCCGTTTTTATCGTATTGTAAAAGGTAAACATGGCCTGAGGTCGACCTGATTCTTGAATGTGAACTCCCGCTCGAGAGGAAAAGAACAGCAAATAATAGACAATCAGGTTTGCATGGAGAAAATTTTTCCCGCTGGTGGAACTGAAAAAATCACCCAAATACAATGAGTCCAATGGATCATCGGATAAGATTAAGGCCAACGAACGGCCGAAAACGACAAAGTACCAAAGGTGACTGATCGTATGAAATGTGTGGGTAAATGTTGACAATTTACTTAATTGTTGATAACCAGTACATTGGAAAAAGTTTCCCATCTTCTCGAGTAACTTTACCTTGGAAATTAAATTTTCCTCTTCAATTAAATTGTTCTCAAAGTAATTAGTTAATTTACTTTTCAATTTATTGAACATTTCCTCAGCTTTATTGTTGCAACTTTTCAATCACAATCAAAGTTTTCAAACAATTTATAAATCTGATTAAACGATTGAGTTACGATCACAATTTACTTCAAGTTTAAATGGTTGTTAACAATTAACACGAGTTTTCATCATCGATCTTAAATTGTTTAGGTTAATTAACATTTTAAATGCTTCCTCGTTAATTGTAAATTACAAATAAATATCATTAATCAACACGATTAATCGTGATCACTATTATTGTAATCGGATTTAATTTACTTGTTTTGTGTTTTTATTCAATTAAAGTGCAATTAAGTTTGCATGTTAATTGTAAATTGTTATTACAATTGAATTTTTCTTTTTCAATTCGTTAATTTTGTTTGGTATTGTGTTGAAAACAACTATGTAATCAATGATTAAGGACTAATCATTATTGTTAATCAATCTCAATGAATTTGATTGTGTTGATAACTATATGAATAGAAAGGGAGAGAACCAAATTTCTTAATAATGTGATAAGACAATTAAAATTAAAATGTCATCATTAATATAAGATGATGATGATGATGATTATTGATTGTTAATTAAATCCATCCAATTGTTGTGTAAATCCAACCGACCAAGTATAGAGAATAGAATTACAATTAACCAGATTATTTGGTCTATCGCTAATTGTGTTGAGATAGAAAATACAACTTGGTGATGATAATCAATTGTATTCATTTTCCTGTCATGATTATGCGATTAAATTATTAATAAATTGTTGACTAGAAAATTGGTGTTGATCGTTTTTCTTGATTCCTTTTTCCCATCGGTCAAAAGTAATTAGTCAAATTAAGCATTTGGATTATCATTTATCCTGTTAATCAATTGTTCATATTGATTAGCATTTAATCTTGATCGGTAACGATTATCACCTCCAAATAAAGATGAACCCAAGATAATTGAATTGGGTGATTTATCATTATTGTTGAATAAATATGAACCATTTTGTCGTCGTTTCCGTTTCATTGCAATAATTGGTCTCATTAACAGTTCGGATTGTGATCTAGTTGGAATTGACCGGAATGACCTTAAAGGTATAAAAGGATCCATCGAGTAAATATCAACATTATTGTTTGGATTATTATTTCCATTAGAACCATCGGTTTCCAGTTGATTAATTAAATCAATTGTTCCTTGATTAGACCAACCATCATCACCACCACCAAATCCAGAATCAAATGAATCATCACCTTCACCGGTCAATTCAAGAGCTTCAATGTCACTTGTTGTCAATGGATAGAATGAAACTGATTGTTCCGGATTAAAACGAGAATTAATTCTGTTCATCATCATGGAACCCGAAGAAAAATCATTTCTATTAAGTGAATCTTCAAGATTACTTGAATAGATTGATCCAAATTGTCCAGGTTTAGGATTAGCCAGTGAGTTGCTTGCAGGATAATCGCTCGGTGAGGTTATGTGATTAGCCAATAGATATTTAATCAGAGAAAAAGGATTTCCTGATGAAGAATCGCTTCGTATCATATTGGGTCTACTTCGTTTCATCCTTTTGGTCCGGCCAAGATACGGAGCTTTCGATTTCAACAAATTATCCATCACCATGTAAAGAGATTGCGGTGAGTCCGAATATAACTTTGGGTGACCTGAAAGAATATTTGAAGAAAAAGGAAATAAATTAAACAACAGTTTAGGGTAGAAAATTTTGAATCCAAGTCAAGAATCAATTGATCAAAGCTCGTTATAAATAGAAAGTCAGGAAATGAGTAAGCCTTTTTTTCATCATGGAACCTTGAATTTTCATATGACTGTCATTGAAGAAAACGGAAATAGACTCAAGGTTCATTGATGGAGAAAAAATCAATGTCTAATATCTCAAAGGATAAAGAGTAGGTGATAATTAATCTGAAAGAGATGAGATTTCGTTCTTGAATTGCCAACCTTGGATTGCTGAAGTTCTTGATGGCGACTCTTTCTCTTATTTTTTTTGGGTTTCCTTTGATTATCTTTTGGGTTCATATTGATCCTTTGGAGATGCGCATTCCCATGAAAGCATAGAATCATCATGAGAAATATTCTGATTCTGAGGAACCTTTAGAAGACCTAAAAGTTGAACCAGAAAAACAAACGAAACCACAGGAAAAGAAACATAAACAAGACAACCAAACCATCGGAACCAAATTGAAAGGCCTCAAGTTACCATGGTGAGTGTTTACTTTCACTAATTTTTATCATGTAACACAGATTGATAACATTTTTATATCACTAATTAGATGATAAAATTTTGTTTTGGTTTGAATGAAAATTCCCATGAAATGAAACAAACACAAAGAAAACTGCGCATTTGGGTGGATTGAGATTCAATTTATATATGAAATGTTAAAAAGGAAAACAAGAAGATAGAAATAAAAAAGTCAAGAAATGGAACAGAAAATGCACATTGAGAACGAAAATGTTCAGAATTGTCATGAAGAACTGAATCAAGAGTGAGAACACAGAAAAAAATAATAAGTCATGATGATGGAATGTAAGAGATAATTGAAGAAACAATCAATAGATAAACAGAAAGAGAGAGAAAATATGATGAAAAGAATAGAATTTTTTTTTCTTCTGTTTACTTTTCTATACACAGAGAGATTATGGATTTGGGGAAACAGAGAAGATGAAGAGAAGATTAGAAAAATATTCTGGTGATCATCATGTTGAACCGAATCAATTGTTAAAGATAATGAGATGAGAACCCAAAACCTGTTGAAAGAGAAAATGAAGACAGAGAAGAAGAAGAAAAAAAAGAGACTAAAAAGGTAGAAAAGAGAGAGAAAAAAGGAGTGAGGGAGAAGAAGAAGAAAAATTGAGTGAGTGAGAAAAAAAAGCTTCTCATTATGTTGATATTTCTTTTTAAAGTAATTTGGGTTTCGACATGTGAGTCTCATTCTTTATCTTTTATCGTTTATTTTTCTTTCTCTTCTAAACTAATTTAATCTTCTTCTTCTTGCAAACATTTTTAATGTGATTAACAAGTGATTATCTTTATTTACCTAATTAATCAACGAATTAAACAAAAAATTCTCTTTCATTTCGTTTTTGTTTTATTCCATTTTTGTTTTGTTTTTCTTTTCTCGCGTTTCTCTTACACTTTTGTTCATTAGTATTGTCTGGTTACCATTTTGAGAAGAGAATTTTGTTTTTTTTTTCTTCTTCTTCTTCTTCTTCTTCTTCTCCATTTTCTCTTCATCTTTAATCACCCTGGTTAATATGATTAACAATTAACCTTTTTAAATTTGTGTGTTAATTTTAATGTTCTGTCATCAAGTTAATCAACGATATTTGTTTACCATTGTGACAGCCAAAGGTTTTCAATAGTAATCAACATTTGTCATTTTGTTTGGTTTTTTTCTGTGTCAAGTTAATATTGACTTGATAACCTTGATTGATTGTTATTACCAATCATTTGAATCACAATTAATATTCATTACATTTACTTTGCTGGTTTACAAGTGAATTTAATCTGTGTCTGTGTCTATTTCAATTCAAGTCAGTCTTGTTGAACAAAAAAAAAGTTCATTCTGATCAATGAAATTTCAATTACTTTCCCAAGGATAATTAACCAGAAAACAAGACAAAAATGGAGGCCAATGAGAGTACCTACATTTTGGAGGCATCAGCATCATCACAAGCTTTTACAATCTCAAAGGTAACAACAATCAAATCTATTGTTTTTAATTTAATCATCATGTTCATCATCCTTTTGTTTACAATCTTCGTATAGGTTATGATAGAGTAACGATCAACAATTGAAATCCATCAACGGCCATTTCGTTAATCAACTGATCAATGTATTAACCAGATGAACAGTTAATCAGTTATTCATTTTATATTGACCAATTGGTTGATTGATTCCAATTGAAAGGATTAAATTTTATACCAATTGTTTCAAAGTCTTAATACATGATTGACCATCTAAATTGTATTGACGATTAAAACTCTCATTTCCCTCCTTTTTTTTTGTTGTTGATCATCATCGTTAATCATCATCAACAGAAACAAATTGATAATAATAACATAGCATTAAACTTACTATGTGATGATCCGTTAAATTGTACAGTAGTTATTTATATATATAAATGATGATCATCATCACATTGATTATCATCATCTTTCTGACAGACAGATTAACTTTTGATCATCTTAATTTGGTTCATTCATTCAGTTTTTTTCTTCTTCCATCAAGTTTAATCATCTCCAATCAATACCTTTCTTTTTCCACTCATCATTTTTCATTCATCTTCTTCTAGAGTATTTATTTACTATCTCCCCCCTTTGTTCATTCATTGATTTCCATACAATTCCAAACAATTAACTCATAACAATCAGTAATGATACACAATCGATGATTAATCTCTTAACATGATAATATCTCTCTATCCAAATATTATTTAACTTCAAGTTGCTACTCTCTCTCTCTCTCAAAATGATCAGATTGTGATGATAAACAAATGCTAAGAAAACACTGAACAATTCAAAGCTTATTGTAGTGACCATTGTATTGAGAACATAAATATCTTGACCTTAAAAGATAAAATCTACCGGATAATCAAATGTATTTATTTAATTCCTTTTGATTGTTAACAAGAATCAACTACAACAACAACAAAAGGTCAATCCAATTTAGGTTATGTTGTTTTTTATGCTTCTTTTTGATAATCTTTTATTATTTTGCTTCCATTAACTTGACCAGCAAATTATTAGACAATCAACTCATCCTTTATCTTGACCATCACTGTCCCTTGTCATTATTATAATACATTTGATTCATCACCTTCCTCCTCCATCATCTTGATCATCATCATCATCACCTTTTCCACCATGTACTTAATAGTAGTTAATGTCATCGACCGTAAACTTGATGCTCTGATGATTAAAGATCCTTAATTTTGTTTGTCTCCATTGAGAGTTGATTATAACTGATTTACTTTAATCATTGTAACTTTTTTTTTCTCATACAGTTTGTTACTTTTTTCATGTAATTATTGTTACCTCATCTTATCAACCATGAAAGTTGATTACTTGTATCACCGTCATCATATTTATATAAATTCATTGATAGATTGTTGACAATTTACTTCAATTTACAACAATTAATTTTGATTGTTACACTTTTGATGTTGAAACAAAAAAGATATTACAATCATATTATCCAACTACTTTACTCACAATCAAATCTTTTAAATCATCCAGATCAATTTTAGATTGTTAATCTTTATATCCTATGGGTAAGATGTGTAAACAATTTTAATGATGATGATCAATTTTCTATTATAATTATTATTACATGTTGTTAATTGTTTGTAATTAGTGATTATTAATGAAACTTTTTCCTCTTTTTTTAGCCTTATCAAGATCCTAAGGATTCTGATGATGAAGAGCTTCAACCAAGGACTCAGGGTGATTATTGTAAAAGTAACATGAAACAGACAGCATTCAATTATGTTAATTCAATTATTGGATCTGGAGTAATTGGTAAGAGTTAATTTGATTCTTACAATCAACATCACCTTTAAATCATCATGTTATCATCATCATCATCCATACTCTAGCTAAATCCTTTTCTCCCGCCAAATGATGATGATGACGATGATGATGATGATTATTTCATCTTCCTATTCAATTCTGTTTTCATGTAATCATCTCATGAAATTATCTGTTCAATGTTAATTGTTACAAATCAACATCACGATAACTTTTTATTAATCAGTGACATCATCTAATTGCTCATCAATTTTATAACAATTAGTTAATTGTTATCAACTAATTGTGATACATTTAAGTTGAGAAAAAATCTTCATCTCTTAACAGACGCACACTTATATTTACCTGTTAATTGTTAATTATTTTCATCCCAACAATCAGTAAATTTAATATTTTGCCATGATGATGATGATGATATTAAAATAATTAACAATTTAAGTCAGAATGTGAATCAATTAGTAATATAGTTGCTGATGATTAAGCCAGTCATCATCAATATATATTATTTATTAATTAACAATCATAATGATTTATACAATTTAGATATGAGTCTATGATTGAAATAATTTATTATTCAATTGATTAATATTGTTACTGAATAAATTCAAGATGAGATGAATCAAAATTGATTGAACCTTTTAATTATATATTGACCTAATCAACTTTATCTTAATTGTTTCCAACAGGAATTCCATATGCCATTCATAAAGCGGGATTTTTCATGGGGATATTTTTACTCATCTTCATCGCCGCGATCACTGATTTTTCATTATGTACCTTAATTAGAGCAGGTAATTTAGCCGGTGTATCAACCTACCAGGTAAATGTTTCATTCATAATCCAAACAAGCAAATGTTAATTATTTATAACTGATTTTTGTAAAAATTTCTTTTTCCTCTCTTGCAAATTTCTAAACCTTTTTTTTCACTGATTCTTTGCATCTTCTTCCTCTTCCGCTTCCTGTTTCTACGTTTTCTCTCTCTCTCTCACCCTTTTTGTCGTTATTGATGTAGGATGTGATGGATCGTGCATTTGGTAAACCAGGTTTCTACATTTTAACAATTCTTCAATTCATCTACCCATTTATTGGTAAATACCCAGAAAAAAAGCATAAGAAAACACCGTTAGTTTGTTCAGTGAACTGAGAAAAGAGATAATTTTTAGAACCAGTGAAATTCAACCAACCAAGAAAATGGCTCAGCATATTAACTACAGTTAATCAACACTGATCAACCATAACTATACAATTTGTTAGATTAACTCTTGTGTTTTCTTAAATCAATACTCTTGGCTCTTTGATTTGTTTTCTTAATCACTAATAACTTTCTCTTTCTCTCAATTTCAATGTTATTCCTCAGCCATGATAAGTTACAATGTAATCATTGGTGACACCATGACCAAAGTGTTTAGAAGAATATTTGACCGTAAGTTGCCCTAAGGTCACCTACAATTTACCAAATGATACTAATTAATATTATCATATTTATCTATCATTACAGTTACATCCAACAATCCCTTTGGTAACAGGAACACCGTAGTCTTCATGTGTACAGTCATGATTATGCTTCCAATTTCACTTTATCGCAACGTTTCAAAGCTCAATAAGGTAACAATATACATTGAATTTTCTCATTAATTACATTAACAATTAACTAATCATCTCTCCCTCTCTTTATATTTTCAGATATCGTTAACATCCATTGCCTTTGTTAGTTTTATTATGTCCTTTATTGCTTATCGACTTGTCACCTTGGGACCTGACATGTAAATATCATATTTCATTATGATTTCTGTTACTCATTCCAACCAGAAAATTCATCTCCTCTCATGAAACATATTTCATTATTATCTATTAACAATATCTATTCTTGACTCCGTTAGTCCCCATGAAGAAAATGCATTCACCTTAGTCAATAGTGGAATAACAAATGCCATAGGAATCATTGCTTTTGGTAAGAAAAAGGAATAATACAAAACATGGTTCATTCATTTTCTCATGAACTTTATCGTTTTTCATTCATGTAACCAAATAGATGTCACGTTATTGTTATCCTTTCTCTTTTTTTATCTTCTTTTTCCTTTTTTTTTCTTTTGTTTTAATGTTTATATTTTTTTCTTTTCATCTTTTCTTACCCATTATCTTATTTAGCTTATATGTGTCACCATAATTCATTTCTCTTATACGATTCAATGGCCAATTCAAGTCAAGAAAAGTGGAACAGGGTAACTCATTTAAGTTTAGCAGTTTCCTGTTTCATTGTCATGGTTGTTGGAATCTGTGGCTATTTAACATTCGGTAGCTACTCACAGGGTGACCTGTTTGAAAATTATTGCCTATCAGATGATTTCGCTCAAGCAGCAAGACTCGCATTCACAGTAACCATCATGTTAACATATCCATTTGAATGTTTCGTTGTTCGAGAGGTAAGATAACCATGTATCCAAATAGATAATAGCTGGAACAATTTAATTACAATTTAAATGTTCTCAGTTGCCTTATAATTGAAACTAATCTTGATTGTAAAGATATTCAATTCAATGTTATCATTTGATCGGATTTCATGTATGAAAATCGCGATTTTTTTGTATTAGTTTATCATTTGTGAGTTCTGTATGTGTGTGTGTGACTTGGTATTCATGGGAATCAGTTGAATTAGTTTCAGGTCACGAAACAAACATATCTATAAGTTATTTTTTTCAGCTATTCTCAAGTTTCAATTGAATTTTAATGAAAATTCATGGTTTTTTTCTTCTTTCCTCATGAAAATAAAGGTCTTGGAAAATGCTTTCTGGGGAGGTAAACCACCGTCGACAAATTCCCACCACACTCTGTTAACCATTGCAATTGCTGCTTCAGCTTTCATTTTATCAACACTAACTGACTGTTTGGGAATCGTTCTTGAATTAAATGTAAGCCCATGTGAAACAATTGATAATCAGAACAACTAATTAACTCTTGTAATGTATATATTTTGGTTTTTCTCAATCAATTCAATCCAGGGTATTATTGCTGCGGTTCCATTGGCGTTCATTTTTCCAGCATTAACTTTCATTAAATTGGATCCAGAACCATTGATGAGCCGTCAAAAATTTCCCCATTTGGCCTTGGTCATTTTCGGCGTGGCTGTTGCTTGTGTTGGAAGTTTCCTTGCGGTTCAATCGGTTCTTGACGGAATCTCATGTTCCCATGGTCATGAATTATTTTACTGTAATCAAACCAATTCAACTAAATCAGCAACAATTAATTTCAACCATTCAAGTGAAACACAATAGATCAACATGTTTGCGTCTTTGGAGTCCATTTTGTTATTATTATGTCAAACTCACCATCACCATCACCACCATCATCATCCTGTTATTGTTTACAATTAATTGTGTATATATCAAATTGTATTGTATCGTAAACGCTTTTGTTTATCAACAACAATGAAGAAAATTAATATTTTCCTCATCAAGAAAGCTAATACAAAAACCCAAAGCTAATTGTTGTCAAGTTTTTAATCGGTGATCAATTGGAAATGATAATCAATCCATATTCTGATCACTTAAATCTTGATTGTCCCCTCAGATTGTTTTCTAATCAATGTCAACCAATTTTCCCCTGGTTTCTCAAGTCACAACAATTAGGAAACCTGATCTCTTTGTTAATTAACCCTCACTTTTAATTGTTCATCATCTTATCCTGATTCCAATTGCCCTTCCTTCAATTTGATGGTTTTAAATGAACAACAAAACAAACACACAAACAAAATGATGAAAACTAAATTAATTCATATTTTTAATTGTTTGAAATCAACACAAAGTCAAAGTTTTATTTAACTGAATCAACGATTAACCATTTTCATTGAATATCTTCAATTATTATTATCTTATATTTAAGAAAGTTAATCCAGTTAATTAACTGGATTGATCTATGATTTAAATATAGTTATGATTGATTTTCTCATTCACAATTTCATTTTAATTAATAGACTCAAAAAATGCTCTAAGCACAATTAAGTATTATTATTATTGTAACAATTATCATTATTTAATCATAATCATTTGTTAATTTTAATCCTCAAAACAACTTTAAGTTAATCATCATGATTAACATTTGATGTTGATTGCAAAGTAATGATGTTAAATTGTAATTATCATCATCTAAATTAATATAATTGTAAAATTTAATTGATGTTTTCAATTCAATATGTGAATGTATATAATTAAAAGTAATTAAAAATGATCAATCAAATTAATCATTTAATCAATATTGAAAATTGATACATTAAAATGATTGGAAAATAGCATTTGATTATTGTGATGAAACTCAATCAAGTGATTAAGTAATTAAACTTGATTGTTAAATCAATGTATTAATACATAAATAGTAGATTAATAATTAAGAAAAATGATCATTCAAGTTAATCATCAATCTAACTGTTAATTTATTAACAGTTATTAATATGATTAATTGATTGAATGATATTGATTATCATTTGATTGTCCATGTAAATGAAAAAACAATCAGTTACAATTAGAGTTGATTAAAGTGATTGACTTGATATCAAATCAAATTAACACTGAGATTATTTAAAGTGTTTACTGTTGATTAGTTGATTGTATTCAAATAGTTAATTGAGTTGGATGATTAAGATTGACAGAGAATCTGTTTCAATATGTTCATGTAAATGTATGAATTCAACTGAATCAGAATTTGATATTAACGATTGACCTTGGAACTGAATTTTGTCTGGAAAAAAAAGTGAGTCCCGAAATTATTGATCTTCAGATCAAAGAGAAGATGAAACAATATCTTCCTCTTTCTTTTCTCTTTCTCTGGATGAAGATAATTATCTTTATCCTCATCACTTTGGTTATCATTTCCAGTGGAGATCTTAAATTACAACCTTGTATTAGTTAATTGTTCATTCATTTAATTCAAATTGTGAGCATGTGTAACCATTTACATTGATTTACATTGTTAAGATTCATCTTAATCAATCACAATTAGTTAATCAAATCTGATTAGATTTCTCATCATCATGATAATAATGAAAAGATTAAATCACAATTGAGACATTGATGTTATCATTTTTTGGTGAGATTTGATTAATTGATTAACTGATTCTTTCTGATAATATTATACTTAATATTTACAATCAACAAAAAGTAGACACAAAATCGTGTAAACATTTAAATCAAGAGTCTAATTAATATTTGATTGTAATCATTTGTTTATTTTAAATGATTAGTTGAAACTGTTCAATCATTTATTAGAAATATAATCAAGTTAATCAATTATAATTGCACGTGCAAATCTGATAATGATTAATAAGCAGCTCAAGAGGATCTTTATAAACAAGTGGATTATTTTGGTCGTTTTTTCATTAATTTTGATTGCAATTAACAAGCTTGACCATTGATTAAATTGAAATTAATTGTCCATAGACTTACCTTTAGATGGCAAAGGTGTTGGCAATGGAGGAGGTAAAGTAGTTGTTGATGTTGTTGTTGTTGTTGTTGATGTTGATGGTGATTCTGTTGGGGTTGATGATGATGATGGTTTTGGTGATGCTGATGATTCAGTTGATTGTGATGATGAATTTTGATTGTGTGAAACCATTGTGGTTGAATTAATGAGAGTCGCATTATCAACTAATGCAATTGATTCAATTGATGAGATTTGATTAGTTTGATTATCATCTTCATCAATCAAATTACCTGCTGATGACAATTGTAGTCCTACAATTGAGATGAACAGGTAACCAATTAAATGTTTACTAAATGGTGAACCATGAGAGGGACATTTTTTAATTGCCATTATTAATCAGCAATTAATCAATTATTGGTCAACAGTTTAATTAATAATATTTCTTATTGATTCTCAATTGATTTGTGTATTTGAGTGAGTAGATCTTTCTCTCTCTCTCTCACTATATCTGTCACTCTTTTAATAATGATGATTAAATTGGATCAAATCAAATGCAAAAGGATTAACAGTTAATTGAAATTAAACATTTACAATTGTTGATCAACTGATTATCGTATTGAAACACAATTTAAATTGCTAAACAAAGAGACGAATACACAATTTAAATGGGAGATTCAATTGTTTCCCTGGTTGATGTTATTATTTCAGTGAAGATTCAATTGTATGACAATCATGCGCATCGAGATTAATCACAATTAACAATTTACCGAGACTCAATTTAATCTACAATTAATTTTGATTCCTTTTCTTTTAATCCAATTGATTGTTTGGTCTGTGACTTTTTCTCGCGATCAATTAACATGTCACGATATTTGCATTTTCGATAATTAATTAAACCAAATCAACGCGAATACGATTTTCTTTTCATCCCAAATTGTGGCTTTTTTATCTTTGAGCAATTTAACTAATTGATTAGAATTAATTTTCTTTTCATCTTCCTGTTAAATGGATTTAGAGCTAAATGGAGAGAGAAAAAGGAAAAATTTTGATCATTGGTTTAGAATTTGTTTTGTATTATTTTTAAGTGGTATGTTCAAATGATGACAAAGTAAATTGTATTAATTTTCTATTCAATTTCAGTCTCACAATTAGGACTTTTTGTTGAATTATTGTTTGTAATGTTTTTGGTTTAGGTTATTCATTCACAGAATAGCACCGTAGTAGCATTAATCACATTCAGTGAGACCAATGAACGTTTTTTTTTCTTGCTTTTGATTACAGGGAGACTTAGATTCAATGGAAATCCATTTGTTTTCTTTTGCTTTTAAAGTGACTTGAGAATTGATTGGTGACTGTTGAGAAGGTTGCAAGATAAAGATAAGAGAAGAGAGAGAAGAGAGAAAGAGTGAGAGTGAGAGAGAGGGAGAGAGATGAAGGAAGTGAGAGATATCGAGAGATAGAGAAAGAGTGTGTATGTGAATTTTGTGTGAGATGTAGCAACCATTTCTTGCGAATATCTTTTTTCCTCCCTTGTGTCCGAAACATTTACTCAGGGGAGTATTCAGTCCAATGCTATGCACTAAAGGATGATGAGAGGAAGTGTGAACAGTATTGACAATCATTTTGTGTTCGTGTCTCTTTTTTTTGGTTGCATTCCATCAAAAGATGGGCAATAATTTGAATTGGAATTTCTTTTAAATTATATCTCTTTTTTTTGTGCAGTCAGATTCTCTTGTCATATTAGTCCTCCTGCAGTTTTTTATAGTCATTTATTTAATCCAGCTAACGATGGATCGTTGACCAGAGGAATAACTCCATTAAGTGCTTGTGGATGCGATGGAGCCCACCTTAATTGGTTACCCAATGCATTTACAGAATTAGCATTTGCTATAGGTAATAACGGAAGAGACCCATTATTGGCAGCGGCAAGTGCGGCAGCAGCAGCCGCGGCATAGTATGGTGAAGTTGTCGATGAGGGATGGTATGATGTTGGAGGACCCATAGCGGAAGCTGCTGCTGCTGAATTTGTTCCGGGTGGACCAAGGACTTGGGCTGGACCAGAAACAGGCGGTGGACCAACATGAGTGCTTATCGGAGGGAAATGTGGTGGCCCTGCAGTCTGGTAAGTACCACAGGGATGTTGAAGAAGAGGTAATGGGGGAGCTGAATAAATAGTATACGGATAAATGTAATTGTAAAGAGAATTGGCTGGAGATGGTGTCCCATGAATAGCTGCCGCAGGATCCCAACCTAGACTATATGGATGACCAGCTTCATTTGGTATACCTGCTAATTGAAAAGCATCAACTGTTGGATACATAAGAGGGCCATTGGCTACCAAAGAAAGCCCATCTTTATATAAAAAAAAGGAAAAAGGAGATTATAAAAAATAATAGGAAATGATTAACAAAAAAAATTAAAATAACAAATATAGAAGATAAATAAAAGGATTGGATAAAGTAAACACTATTTACCTAAACGAATTTGTTGTTTTTTTATTGCAATGGCGACATTCAATTTTTTGCCTTTCAAATGAAGATTATCACATTCTTTGAGCGCCCGGCGAGCTTCATCATCGGTTTGAAAGGTTATAAAACCATAACGATAAAGACTAGAAGAGAAAAATAAGAAAATTAAGAACAATATTTATATTAATAAGAGTATAAGGTAAAAAATTTCGAAAGGTTCATGTTAGAATAAAAAGATAAGGCGGAGCCAGTTCCAATAAGAGAATACAGAAGTAACATTGGTTAAAATTATGCAATGAAACACGAACCAAATAGATAAGATCAAAGACCTTTGATACAAAATACTGTGAGTATTTACAGTATAGAAACATTGAATGAACTTGACTTGATTTATATTAAATTAACTCAATGTGAATGCATGTACTAAACAAAAATGGCTGAGAATAATGTTTCAATTGTAAGACATATCACCGGCAGATTATAGTTTGATATCAATTGAATCAGCAAAAAATAATGGGGGTGAATAACTCATCAATGAAAAGGTAATATTTAGATGGAGAGAATTAAAATAGAATTAATCAATTTACCCTTTAGGCACTCCAGTTTTATCATTTATTATTTTGACTGCGGTTACATTGCCATAGGCTGAGAATAGCTCTTGAAGCTCAGCTTCAGTGGTCTGTAAAGAAGAGAAGAAAAAGTGATTAGCACAACAATAATAAGAGAGGAAAAAAAGCAATTGAGAAAAAAAGAAACATTGATCTAATGTGTGTGTGTGAGAGAGAGAGAGAGAAAGAGGAAATAAATGGGCCATTAGAATAATTGTGAACATACATCTGAGGACAGTCCTCCAACAAAAATTCGATTTGGTATGGTTGTACCAAAGTGTTGCTGATGATGATGATGGGATTGTTGTGGTTGCTGATGTTGCTGTTGCTGTTGATGGTGATGCTGTTGTTGTTGTTGGTGATGATGATGGTGATGGTGGTGACTGGTAATTCCAGCCAAAGGAGCTCCGGTGAGATGGTGATGACCAGGATGTAAAGTCGTCGAAGGTTGATGGGAATGGTGGTGATGGTTGACCATCAAAGGGACAATGGTTGATGGTAATGATGTGGTGATCGATGTTGTTGTGGTTGAGCAGGGAGCTCCTGCAGTTGACATAGGCGATGAAGACATCTCAATGTGATTCATTCCAGGATATCCCTTTAATTGTAGACCAACATTGAGACCTCGAGGATAGTTCATTATCATAAGTATAACAAAAGACGAGTAGAAGTAGTAGTAGTAATAGTAAGAAAGAAGACAGACAAAAAAATCAACAATAAATTTTTACCAAGCCTTAGATTCTTTCAAGTCAAAATAGAGAAAGATAGAGAACCAGTCTATAAGGTAATCTCTATTCCCGTATCACCAAAAAAAAGCACAAAACGCTCAAAAATAAATAAATAATAATTTAGCAATAGTGAAGAGAGAGAGAGAGAGTGAAAAAGAAAGGCAGAAAGAAAGAAAACCAGCACTGAAAGAAACAAAAACAGACAGAGAACTGTAGAGAACAAGAGAGACAGAGAGAAAGAGAAAGAAAGAGAGAAGGGGGAGAGAGAGGAAAGAAGATAGAAAAAAAAGAGACACAAGAGTAAGATGATGAAGAAGAGAGAGAGAAAGAAAAAAGGGAAGCAAGAAATAGGGAAAAAAGAAACAAGCTCTAGAAAAAGAAAGAGAGATCAGGGAAGAAGAGAAAGAGAAGAAAAAAATAAAGGTAACAAAACAGAGAGAAACAAAATTAGATATTAATTTAAATGACAGAGAAGAAAACAAATTAATTCCAATTAAAGGTGATCACTGAGATTTAGCAAAAATCATAATAGAAAATTTAATCAATTAGAAATAAAGAAAAACAATTGGCAATAATAATTAAATAATTTAAACAAAATTAATTCTCTTTATCAACAATAAAGAAAGAAAGAATAACCGATTTTCTTTTCTCTTTTTCTTTTCTCCCTTCAGACTCACTTCTCATTTTCTATTCTCACTTACATTCTCCCTCCTTTTCGAATTCGTGATATGCTAACGGTCCCTTAGAATTTTTCTCGCCGGCGCCAAAAAGAACAGAGAACAAAATTTTTTCTCTCATCACCTTTTCTCTAATCAATTTCTATTTGGTAAATTCAATTAATTTCCATTCTTTTCTTAATTAAATGGTTAATTTTTTAATTTCTCTTCATCTATTAACAAGTTACCATCATCAGTTAATCGATTAATTTTGGTTCTTTGTAATTTCTTGATCCATTTTATTACTTTTCAGTGATCATCCCAATTCCATGGATTAAAAGTCAAATTAAATCTCTCATCTTTTTTTTTCTTTCTTTCTTTTGGCTCTTACTTTTTTTTATTGGATTTTTTTTATTTCCATTCTTCATTTATTTTCCCTCTTTGGTTCTTTGTTAAGGTTCTTACCTTGATTTGGCTATTATCGTTTTTCTTTTCTTTTGGTTTACTTCACCTTGTTGGTTCTTATTCTTGGTTTGTTTTGGTTTATTTTTTTTTCGGTGTTTATCTGATTCTTTGAAGACCTGATATCATGAAACTTTTTACTCCGGAGATTGCCTGGCACAATCAAGAGCCTGTTCTTTCACTGGATATTAAAAAAATTGACGCCAATTTGTACAAAGCTGTTACCTCTGGTTCGGATAGACATTTGGTCGTATGGAAGATAACTTTGTCTCTACCCAGTGTTTTAGACTCAACTAGTGGATCGTCTTGTACACTTAAGAAACAAATCACCATTGAGCCGTTAGCCGATTTAAATAGGCATCCAAAAGCGATTAATGTTGTTAAATTTTCATCTAATGTCAATTTTTTTGCTTCTGGTGATGATGAAGGTAATATATTTGTTTGGAAACTTCAAGATAAATCTGGAGAGCCCATGGTAACTGGTGATAACGATGCTAGTGGAAGTGATAAGAAACTATGGTCTGGTAATTGTTTTGAAGATCCTGATGGTAACAATAACATTGAAGATTGGTGCTTATATAAAACTCTCAGAGGACATAATGAAGATGTTGTTGATCTTTGCTGGTCCCCAAATGGTCAATTTTTACTATCCGGTTCAGTTGATAATGATGCCATTGTTTGGGATGTAAATAAAGGAGTTCGTATTAGTTACCTTGCAGGTCATAAAGGATATGTTCAAGGTGTTGCTTGGGACCCAGCTGACAACTATATTATAACCCTTTCAACTGATCGAAGTCTTCGTGTTTTCAATACATCGTCGAAAAGGCTCATTTACAAAGTTTATAAATCTGCTGTTAAAATTGACGAGGATAAAGTTAAAATGACACGACTTTTCTATGATGATACACTACCAACTTATTCCAGACGAGTTTGCTTTAGTCCTGGTGGTGAACTATTATTCGCACCCTCCGGAGTCGTAGAATTAGATCCGGATGAAGAAAATTTCAAATTCACTAATGCAGTGCACATATTTACAAGAAATTGCATAAATAAGTTAGTATTTTAACTTATATCTCATTTATTCTTTCAAAGGTTCATGTGTTTAATTATAAATATATTTCTTTTAATCAACAGACCTAAATACTATTTATCAACTGGTAATCTTTACAACACCGCAGTTAAATGTTGTCCTCAACGATTCGAGCTTAAACAAGATTTAGCCAATCCTTTCCCGTGAGTTATACTTATTATATTTTAAACTTATATAACTTTCATTTTATTAATTATCTTTTTTTTGTCAATAGTTTTCCCTACAGAATTATCTTTGCAGTCGCTACCCAGGAATCAGTTCTTCTTTTTGACACTCAACAGATTGAACCTTTCGCTTCGATTTCAAATATTCACTACACTCGACTAACTGATATATCTTGGTCTGATGATGGTCGACTTTTGATGATCTCTTCCACCGATGGATATTGTTCATTTATTATTTTTGATGAGTCAGAATTTGGAATACCCTACAATGGTAGTTATTATAAATACGAGGTTTCCACTCAAAATGATAGTTGTGCCTCAAGTCCAGCGAAAGAAGGACAAGATATCGATCAACGTTCTCCCCTGGAATCATCGGCATCTAAACCAAAAAGGACACCTGAAGTAACAAAGATCACCAATTTCTTTAGGAAACTTGATAAATCAGATATCAAAGGAAGTGTAAAAAGGAAAGAGGTTGTTGATTTAACGAATGCAGAATCGCCATTGAAAAAGTTTCATTCATCAAAAGAATCATCTAGTGAGGTTAAAAGACTTTTCTCTAATCAGGAAGGAATGCAAAAAGTTGATGATTCTAATAAGGAAGCAGTTAAAGTAAACGATATTTCCGGTTAATCGACAAGATATGTTATTTTCTGAGTGACACTGATTAGCCATGATTATTATTATGTCTTCATCAAGCAATTTTCTTTTGAAAAGGTGATTAAAACAAGGTTAATCCTTTACCATGCAGATTTTACTTGCAAAGATTTTTCTGGTTCTTCTCTGTCTCTCCCTCTCTACGATTTTCTGGTTCCTATAAATAACCAAATTGTTTGATAATAAAGCAAAAAGGATCTTTCGAGGTCTTAATTATCATACGATTTACTTTCTCCTTGGAAATTTTTATAAATAACTAATACACGCGTAAGCAAATTGCTCTCTCGTCTCTCTATCTCTCTCTCTCTGTTCCATCTTGATTATTATTCAACTAATTGCAGATTAAATTCTGCTTGTTACTCGAACCATTTCCTCTTCTTCGTAATCAATGTGTTAACAAGTGAATTAACTTTTCTCTTTCATCAGTTTGATTTCTGTTTACTTGATCAACAGTAATCACTGTTTTCTATTCCCTATCTCTTTGTGTTTACTTGATTTTCTATTACAATTTTCTATCTGATTTTCTACACAAAATCTGGGTTACATTGACAATCTTCCTTCCAGATCATCAAAAAGAATAAAGTTACAATTAGCTGATTATCATCGTAATTATGGATGTGATTACCATTGAAATCGAATCAAATATTCGTGAGATTGAACGTTTCTTCTTGTGTTTAGATAAAGTTTCCTGTCATGTTTATGGATTAATTAAAACAGCGATCAACGAGGTTCGAGAGCGACTTGATTGTCATTACCAAATAATTAAATACCTTTGGACACAAGATTCAATTCGAAGCGATATAATCAAAATTGGACTCAATGGAATAGGAAACAATTCAGTTGAAAAAGGTGAGCAATTAACAATCATCAGAATAATTAACCTTTCATCACTTTCCTCTTAACCTTAATTACAATTTACAAATTAATTTCAAGATTAATTAGTAACCTTGACTTGTGTTGATTTGTTTTGTTTGCCAAAATATTGAGAAATTACCTTGAATTTAAATTGAATTGATGATTTAAATTAAATTTAGATACAATTTTTAATCCATCAAAACTGTGACAGTGATTTATTTCACTTTCAACATAACCTTTAACCTTGTCAAGCTCCCATGAGATGGACAATAAAAATGGTCATTATTGGTCAATAGTAATGATCGGACTCATGATCAGCTAATTACTTTATTGCTTGTGGTCACTTCGTATCCCTTTGGTGTTATGGTCAATCTATTGGGTGCAATAAGATTATTCCTTTTGTTATTTTCCTTTTCAATGCTAATATTTCAATTCTTTAAAATTTTTCTTCTTCTTCTTAAACATAATAATTACTTTTCTAAATTTTTATTATGATTAACTATTCGAATCGTAGCAATTTAAATAACTAAGCTGACCAACGACAAATAAGATATTGACCAGTCGATGATCATTAAGGTTTATATGAGGTTAAAGGTGTTGATGTTTTCCTAATTATTATTGACTCTCCTTCTTATTGATTTTATGTTTTTTTTTAATTTTCTCATTAATTAATAGGTGAATTGATCCATTATTTGGCTACCAAGGATTTAGATGAATTGATTAATCAATTTTTCAAAACTTTCTCGAAAATGTTACACTTGGTGGAAAATTTCAGGCGCCTCATGAGACTACGAGTTATCGGTGGACCTGAGGCCGATAATGTTGAAATGTATCGACAGGTTGATGAGATTCTTATGGCTTATGGTTGATCGGAGGTCACTTTTTTCACTTATATATAAATTGAATCCAAGATTAAGTTGAAATGTTCAACAACTGACCTTCACTTATTGTTAAATGACCAATTAACGTCAATGGACATTGGATGTGGAAATGTAAACACAATGAGAAAATCTAATCATTTTGTGTCAATTCAATTGATTGACAATAAATTTTAAATCATTTGCTGTTTTATAATCAAAAATATTTCTTTATTAGTCTTAATAATGATAGAAATTAATTGATTGTTTGGATTATCTTACAAATTGAAGTGGTCAACTGAATATCGTCTTGAGTTGTTTATTTAGTGATTTAATGATAGTTAGTTGATTTCTACAATTTTAAATAATAATAAATTGATTTTTAGTTACAATTGATTTTGATATAAGTTGATAATTATTACAATTAAAATCAATCCTTATGAACAATATCATCACTTTTATTTGGATGGTAAGTTTTCATTAGATGACCAACTGACCATTACCAAAGGTGAGCAAAGACCAACATACAATGAGACTTTGTGATGATGTGATAAAAAAAACTGACCACTGGAAAAGTATTTTCATTTCAAGTTCAACAATTAATTATGTTTCCTGATGAGTGGATAAAATTAAGATGATGGTGATGATGAGGATGAAGATGATGATGGTGAGGAGAAGATGTAATTTGGATACAAATTTGATGGATCAGATCCCGGTGGCGGCGGTGGAGGTACAGGTCCACCTTGGCGATAATAAATATCGAAAGGTAACATTGTCGGCGATGTTGGTGCAGGTCGAGGTAAACCATTGGCATAATTAGCGATCTGATTCATCCAGTAAGGAGATGATTGTAACATCCGTTGGACTGCAGCGTAATTACCCGCTTCGGCTAAAAGCTCAAGACCAACGGCCGTTTGTCGTTTCCATTTTGTCCGACGATTCTGGTACCAAGTTTTCACTTGGGTGTCACTTAAGTTCAATTTGGCTGCAAGTTCCATTCGATCTTGAACCGATAAATATTTGGCTCGCTCGAAACTTTTCTCTAAAGTCTAAACTCACAAAGAAAACGAGAAACAAAATAAACAAAAACAAGTTACAATCTTTTCCATTTTCATTTCCATTTCTATTCTTATTCATTCTTATTCATTTTCATTCATTTCCATTCATTTCATCTCCATGAAATAAAAAGAGATATTTTTTCAATAATACTAATGATTCAAAAGAATCTGAATGAATGAAGAAGATGATCTTGATCAACTCTAATTCTTACCTGTAATTGATGATCGGTGAAAGCGGTTCGAGCTTTTCTTTGTTTCTTTTGCATTTTTAATCCAATTTTATTGTCACTTTTACTGAAACTACGTTCACTTGTATCATCATCAGAATCGTAAAAATCATTCTCATCATCTGATTCAACGGCGGGAATGGGTTGATATTTATTAATATCATTATTATTTAAAATATCTTTGATAAAAAATGATGATATTGATGATGAGTTACGATGAAGATTAGATTCAAATGGTTGATGAAGATGAGGATGAAGATGAGGTTGAAGGTGATGAGGTTGATTGATTTGATAAAATGATGATGGATTTGGTGGTGTTCTGAATGATGTAGACATTTTTTTTTCAGTTAATTCACAAAACTTTGACAAAAAAGTAAATTATCTTATATATACTTGTTGATATTTCCAAAAAGTTTCAACTGACCTTTACTACTCGTAGTGAATTGACCAAGTGACCATTTAAACAAGTTGTACTTTTATCCAAGGGTAAAAGGTGAGCACTAGACTCACTCCTATTTTTACCTTTATGTTACCTCCTACTTTGTATCTTCCTCTCTCTCTCTCATCATCATCATCATCATCATCTTCATCCATAACTATGGCCTTTAATTGTGTTCACAAGTCAAACAACTTGAAGGGAAAAATTCATTGGTCAACAGATCAAAGGTAAGGGTCAAGATAATTTACCTTTCGGTTGAGGTGGAGTCTCGTCTGGAAGAGGGATAAAGATTAGCGGAGTGTTTTTTTCAAGTCCACTCTTTGTTTTAACCAGAGAGCAGAAAATAAAGAAAAAGATTAAGGATTAAGGGCTAATAATGTGTCGGTATTATTGAATTGACAAGATTAGTCTCAGATTGAGATAACGCAACAATCAAATAAATCAATTTAATCACAATTTAGTTTCATTCATCTTTTTACTTTTCTGTCACAAAGTTGATCTTCATTTAATTGTAATCATAGTTTTCTCATTCAATACAAATTTCAATTTCTTGTTTTCTTATACCTTTCTGATTGTCGGTATAATTATATTACAATTAATCATCGTAAAAAATTTTCAACAATTAAAAGCAAATCATTCAAAATGATTTCAAAATTTACGTGAAAAAATTTCCCGCCAATAGATGTCACTACTAAGACAATTTCTAATTAAATTAGTTGATCCTATTGATTGTGAACAATTAGTTAATTAACTAGTTTACGTTTACATGTAAAAGTAATTAAAAATTGTTGGGAGAAACTTTTAAATTTCTTAAATTTTCTCAAATTGTAACAATTAGAAGATTAAATTGATTATCTTATATTATTTTCAAATTATAGCTAATCAAGTTGATTAATAATGTTAACAGTTTGGAATGACAATTAATATAACAATTAACCTGATAAAGAAAAACCTAAATTGATTAAATTGACTTAACCTAGATAATTGTATTAATCGAAACACTTTTGTAATCAACAAACAATTAACCTTGAAAGGAGAAATGAGAAAACCAATAAAGGACAAAGTTTAATGGTCAATACAGTTAATCAAATTAAAAGAAGAAGGTAAAGTCGACAATTAACAAAATTGATTGTTAATCATGATTCTAATTGTAAGAGTAATAATAACGATAATGATAATAAGTAACTCTTTTCACAATTGAAGAGACACAAGTTGATTGGTGTTGATCAATGAGCAAACAATTAATCAATGATAATGATAAGTGATTAATAATGAGGAAGATTAAAAGATTAATTGATAAAAAGGAGATTGAGAGAGAGAGCAATAGAAAAAGAAATTGAGAAATAAATTGTTAACATTGATCACAATTAACGGTGGTAAACATTTGATTGGATAGAAAGAGTAATAATAATAAAAGTAGGAGGCGCGGTGGGTAAAGATTCCGCCTCGAAGTGGGAGGTTGATACAATCATTATCCCGCCTTGAGAAGTGAATTGTTAGTTAGTTTAAATCATTTGCAGTTAAGTTGATTTAGTTTCTTTTATTGTGTTTGTCAGTGTGTTTCAAACCACAATCAACTTAAATCATCACAATATCAACAACAAACATTGATATTAATTGTGTGGTCACCAAGAAAGAGAGAGACTTAAATTATTATTAAGATAAATAATATAAACTTAAAGGAGAGAGAGAGAGAGATTCAATCAACAGTAATTCAGTCAATTGTTTTTCCCAATAATTTAATTGTGTATCCAAAGGATGACTATTGATAGTCCAACATCAACTCATTCAACTTTAATTAACTTCCCAATTGAATTGAAAATGTCCACTGATAGTATCATTAAAAAGGAGATACCTGTTGGGTCACCGACATCCTCATCTCCACCATCAAGTACACCACCAACACTAACGACAACAATTACAACAAAATCATCAACCTCATCATCAACACCACCAACATCATCATCATTATCACCGCCATCATCTACAACAATAACAACCCAATCATCATCATCATCATTATCAACATCATCTTCATCTTCATCTTCTTCATCAACTGTACCATCTTTGTTATCTTCATCTTCCTCTCCATCAACAACCTCATCATCATCTTTATCTCAATTGAATAATAATCATCACCATCAACAACAACAACAACAGCAACATCCACAACTACACCAACCTCATCATCTTCAACCTCACCTTCATCCTCATCTTCATCCTCATTTAAACTCTCATCCTGCTCATCATCATCTACATAATTCATCATCTTCTGTATCATCGTTTTTCATTAAAGACATTCTGAGTGGCAGTTTTATCAATAAATACACTTTACAACAATATGGTTCTAATCATCCTCTTCATTATCAAATGAACAAAAATCACCAAAATTATCAACCCACCGTTGAATCAGATGATGAGAATGATTTTTACGATTCTGATGATGATACAAGTGAACGTAGTTTCAGTAAAAGTGACAATAAAATTGGATTAAAAATGCAAAAGAAACAAAGAAAAGCTCGAACCGCTTTCACCGATCATCAATTACAGGTAAGAATTAGAGTTGATCAAGATCATCTTCTTCATTCATTCAGATTCTTTTGAATCATTAGTATTATTGAAAAAATATCTCTTTTTATTTCATGGAGATGAAATGAATGAAAATGAATGAAAATGAATAAGAATGAATAAGAATAGAAATGGAAATGAAAATGGAAAAGATTGTAACTTGTTTTTGTTTATTTTTTTCTCGTTTTCTTTGTGAGTTTAGACTTTAGAGAAAAGTTTCGAGCGAGCCAAATATTTATCGGTTCAAGATCGAATGGAACTTGCAGCCAAATTGAACTTAAGTGACACCCAAGTGAAAACTTGGTACCAGAATCGTCGGACAAAATGGAAACGACAAACGGCCGTTGGTCTTGAGCTTTTAGCCGAAGCGGGTAATTACGCTGCAGTCCAACGGATGTTACAATCATCTCCTTACTGGATGAATCAGATCGCTAATTATGCCAATGGTTTACCTCGACCTGCACCAACATCGCCGACAATGTTACCTTTCGATATTTATTATCGTCAGGCCGCCGCAGGTCTACCAGTTCCCGTTCCTCCTCCACCTCCAGGATCTAATCCGACAAATTTGTATCCAAATTTCATCTTCTCTTCATCCTCATCCGCATCACCACCTTCATCTTCATCCTCTGGGCAACAGCAACAATCATCTTCATCACCTTCCTCATCTTCAGCAACCTCATTGGAATCAACTAATCCTCAATCATCAAAATGAGTAATTGTCTAATTAATTTACTCAAAAAAAAAACTGAAAACAAAATTCATTGAAAAAAAAATTGAAAACCTTGAAAAGCTACAATTGATTATTATTGAATTTAATTGAACAAAATTATCATCATTATCCTCATCTATTTAATTCACAATTAAAACTAATACCAATCAAACACAAACATAAACACAATCAACTCGTTTATTACAACCAACAATTAACTCATCGTGTATCCTTAAATCATATGGATAAATGATTCTAATTTCAATTGAATTGGTGAAAAATTGAGATTCATGATTGAATCTGATTTTCAAATCAAAGTTTCCAATCAAATTTGAACCTTAATCATGAGTGTAAATTAATTTCCTTCAAACCAATTTAAGTGATTACGTAAATGATTAAGGAAAGAATGAAATAATTTAATTACCATCATGATTGAAGGTAACTTTCTAATGAAAACAATTAAAAGTGAGCTAACCAATTGTAGTTAATTGTATATAAGTTTAAATAGTATAATTAGTCAATTGATGATCAATTTTGCTAATTACAATTATCATGAAATATTAGATTTCATTAAATTCAAACTATTGATATTGTCACGAAATGAGTAGGATAATTAATTAATCAGCATAAATTAAATATGAGAAAAATATAATTATTTTAATTACAATTATATATAAACAATATGAAATCAAATTTAATTATCATCATGAAAAAAGTTTCATTGAAAATCATAATCAATCAAATTAGCAGACAAAGATCATTTTTCCTAACTGAAACTGTATTTTTTGCCTCATCCTTTCCGTTTCCGCCCCATCCTCATCATCATGTTTATATGATGAAAAAAACAACCAAGTATAGGGTTTGATATGTATATATATATACATAAAGATAGGAAAATGTTTGGATAAAAATTATATTACATTGATATTCAGTTAACCAAATAACATTGAATACATCCAGTGTATGGTGATGATAAACAAGATTAGATAACATTTTCAGAGGATGATGATAACTTAGTGTTTAGATTTAGTCATCATCATGATAATCAGGGTGATGATGATGAGGATGATAATCATCTCAACATTTTATCCTCTTCCTTAATAATATCATCACTTGGCTTTTGACTTTACTTTTCAAACAAGGTTAATATATAACACATAATATTGTCACTTGAACTAAAGGCTTCACAGATTCATCCTCATCTTTTCATCTTCATCTTTATCTTCATCTTTTCATCATTTTACTTTCTTTTTCTCTTTCTTATTCCATTTCCCCCCCCCTGTATTTCTCTCAACTTTCATTCTCATTCTCACTCTAGTCACGGAATATTGATCCAATGGTAGAAAGATGAAGAAAGATTTAGATGAATCATAAATGATGTTGGAACTTTTTCTTTCCTTATCCAATGTCAACATTTCTATCGTTTCCAAACACTTTTAGCATCCTCATCCTTTTAGTATCACCTTAAATTTCATTTACTTTTATCCTTCATCTATTAATATAATGATGATATCGTTTATGAGAGTAAACCATTTCTAGTAATGTGAAAATTTTTCATTCGCAATTCGCGATCATCTTAATGGCGAGATAATCATTACAACTGATTAACTTTACGATCTACAATTAGATTGTTAAATTAATGAATGAATTTTTTGTTTCTCTTCTTCTTCTTCTTTAAAGATTCACATCATTAATTGTGTTTACAGGTTAATCTTTTATTATCATCATCAAGTATTGTTGTTGTTAAACATTTCTACTTGTTTCTTGGTGGTCAGTTGGTCATTTAAAGTTTTATGATATGATAATTAATCATTTAGACAAAAAAAGTGATTACTAAAAAGTGAGGAAGATGAAAAATGAAATGTTAGCACCAAATAAGAGAGAGAGAGAGAGAGTGAGATGATCTGATGGTTATCATGATGATGATCCTGCTAATTAGGATAAAGTTTCACCTGATAGATTGACCACAACAACAAAGAATGCGAAGTGACCAGAGCAATAAAGTAATTAGCTGTTGATCATTTGAATATCTCTCTCGCTATTTTTTTACCTTATAAAAGTTTATCCAAGGAAATTTTTTTATTGACTATCTCTTGGGAGCTTTAAAAGGTAAATGGTCAGCAGGCAAAGAGTAAAGGTAAAAATAAAAGGACAAGATTAAAGGTTAAAAGAAGGGGTCAAAAAAGGGTAAGAAGATTGACCGAAAACTCTGTAAGATTTGCCGATCAGGAAAAGACAAAAACAATGACCAAAAGATGAAGCGACAAGATTGTTGTTGTGGTCAAGCTTACATATGATTCAAGGAAGAAAACAACAAAGGGATTGGTCAGTAATCTGACAAACAAACGTGTAATTTATGCTCTTCAGGGCTGGACAGCAAGAGAGAGAGAGAGAGAGAGAGATGCTAATTAATGTTACATTGTAAAAGTCAAATGAAACAATAACAATTAACTAATCCAATTGGATATGGACTTGAAATTGTCAAATTTAAATTTGCAAATCAATAAAACAATTGGATCAACATTGACTCTTTTTATTTTCCTCCTTAATTGTTAACAGTTTGACAATTTTCAATTCTAATTATTGATAATCACATTTATCACTTTCATTAATCTTTAATCATGAATTATCAGCGTTAGTAAAAAATATTATATCGATTGAGTAATTAGCTTAATTACAATTAGAAAAACTGTTTCTTCATTAATTATTACAATTATATTCTTAGTGTACTTTTTTTTCATTCATCTTATTGATGATAAAAGTTTAATTGTGATAATTAAACTTACGATGAGAAATATAAACGATCAATAATAATGGTTTTTAATTGTTGATAAAAATGAAATTTTTTTTCTCCAATAACCTTAATCATATTAAGATTGTCAAGACAATTAAAAATTAATTGTTAATCATCAATAATGTTACTCTTACATTCAATATATTTAACCAATTAAACGTTAATTCAGTTTCTTAAATAGTTAATCGTTAATTTTTAGTGTTTCAATAATATTTAATTCATTCAACTGGATCAATAGAAAGTGAATGCTTTAATAAATCAACAACAATTAAACTAATCATGAGCAATTATCAATTATTTAATTGATTGTTTTTCCCCAATTGATTGATAAATGTTTCACTTTTTTTTTGCAAACATTTTATTTCCTCATTAAAAGTTAATTACAATTAAGATTAACACTTTCATTGGCCACTAATTATCAGAATCATTATGATTATAGTGGGTTAATTAATATAAATATGTTAAATTGATTACGATTATCAAATGATAATTGATTATAATCAACTAATACATAAGGAAATGATTGAAACTTTTATCAATCTAATTGTTTGGATAATAACAAACATATATTGTTAATCACAATTAACAATTGGCCAGCAATCAACGAAAGGTATTACGGGATTAATTGATTGTTTAATCAAGTGTTGTCATTAACAACAATTTATAATCATTATCATTGATTATCATTAAATGTATTAAATTGTTGACATAAACACAGAGGTGAATATATAAGTTAATTGTTTACTTTCAAATCCATTTTTTAATAACAATTTAAGTCATTCAATAATAAGAGTAAATAAATTATACAATAAGATTTTTATTTTTTTTCGTGTTTAATTCATAGCTAATAAATTATTCATTAGAGTAACAATCAAATATGAATGAAAAAAATGATAACAATGAAAATGTCACAAATTGTAACAATTAAAATTGGAAACCAATGTAAAGTGAATGAACCATTTTTTTTACTTACACCATAGGATTGACTTTTTTTCAGCTCATTATTTGTATTAAATTAGCTTTTTATGATTATGTTGATTATATTTGTCAATATTGAGTGAAGGTGGGTTTCTGGAGGCGGAGGGTGAATGCATGGAGGAGGTGGTGAAGTGGGATGGAGGCGGAGAGTCAATTATTCACCATGAATATCATGAAAAAGTGTTTAAAGTGAAAAAATGGTGAAGAGGAAAAAAAAAGTTTCCAAATGATTTTTGGCTTATTAAGTATTTAAAATACACTTAAAGTGGATGATGATGATGATGAGGCGGAAGAGATGATGATGATGATAGGGAGCGGGAAAATCTTCCAGGGTGGGAGGTGGAATTGTATCAATCTGTCATTTGTATTAAAGTTTGCGTAAAAATTAATCTCATGCTTATATTTATCATCGTATATGATGTTAGTTTAAGTTAATCATTATCATGTTATTATATCATCACTTTATTTTACTCTCTCTCTCTCTCTCTGTTTGTGTTGATTGTAATTCAAATTATTGTCATCACAATCAGCTAATGCTAATAATAATTTAACATCATATCATTTCAATTCATTCATCATTGTCTAGAAAGGGAGTGAGTGAGAGAGAGAGAGAGAGAGAGAGTTAATCATCTTGGTGATGATAAAGATGATTATGATTATGAAGATTATCATTGTTATTGGTTAATGGTTTTTAATGATTTTCATCAGTGACTTGAGATTATTACTGCAAGTGAATGAGAAAACGATTAAATCAAGAGATTTAAAATCATCAAGCGTTTACCAGAGTTTCCGTTTAAAAATGAATTAAATGAAAACTGGGAGGAAGACAAGGAAGAGAAGATGATGAGGATGAAGATGAAGATGGTTATGGTGGTAAACGTAGTGGTGATGGTTGAAGAGGAGGAGGTAAAGGAGTAAAATTTACCACCGACGGAAATTAAACTTATATATGATTTACTTTTGTGTTTATCTTTTGATTTGCAAAGTGTTGTTATTGTTGTTGATCATCTTGATTATCGTAATAATAATTGTAGAAAAGTTAATCATTGATATTCTCGGTTGATCATAATCATAACAATGGAAATGGTTTAACTTTTGATTGTGAAAATAAATTGTTGTTGCCATTGAAGAAGAAGTTAAAAAAAATAATAATAACAATCAAGACAATAGATCAACGGGGAATCAGTTATTTACTATTGATTGACTTTCGAGCCAAACGATTAGTAACAATTTGTTAATCATTCATTTTGATTCTTTTTTCCATGATTAACAATTAACCATTTTGTTGATGAACACGAAAATTTGATTTTGATTAATCTGTTGTAATTTCCAAGTTAATTACATGTTATTGAAATAATCAACATTTAAATGATAACCAACAAGGAGTGAAAACTTTTTTTTTCAAGTTCAAG